TGGTATTATAACTACTTCAATTATAACATAAATCATAAATTTTATCATAATTACGTAGTTCTCTAAAAGATAAACAAAAATTAACAAAGAAATACTTACCTTTTGAAATGTATTTATAACGTGGCGAACGCAATGTCGCATTGGAAATGGGTTAGACAAAAATTTTTATTAGGTGATGATCAGAGCTCATTTTTCTATGTGTTTTCAATCGATTTTCACAACCATAGTTTTAAGTTTATCCAAAAATTTCTGAAGACTTTACAAATGTTTTATAGCATTATCTAAATCGCTTTTAAAACCATACTAAATATTGTGAGAGTCACAAAGAATACTCAAAAATTTTGCAAAAATAGTAAAAAAAAAAATATCTCTATCGTAATACTTTGAAAACATAAACATTAAGAATTGTTTTTGTAATTTTTTCCGATTGCAAAATTTCGAAAAAGCTTCAGTTTGGTGGCCTGATAGATATATGTACATATGTATATGTATGGCATTAATTTTATGATGTAAAACACTTTACATATGTATGTCTTACGTTGTATAAAAACATTTGGTCTAATAGCAATTTCATATAATATATCAGACAATGGTTGCTTAAATCTACAACTAAACATCTTGCCAAAAAGGCGTTATTAAATAATTAATATTAAAAGTTAATTAGAGGGAGTAGAAAAATCATGATATACATAATGAGCAGACTAGAACCAAAAACAATGGAAGACTGTAAGCATAAAGACAGTCAATATACCTAAATGTGATTAACATGTGATGCTTGCTTGTTTCTTTTAATTTAATTTTCAAATTTAATGTATAAATACAATGAATATGAAGGCAATTAAAGAATAAAATGAAGCCAAATAGATTAATTATTTCTTTTAGATTATAATACGAAAATAATGCAGCTAAAATTAAATTTTCTTTTAAATTGCATTTATTGCGAAATACATAAGCTTTTTATGGGTATGTGCGTAAACAATTACATAGTAAGCCAAATGTAAAAATAAAGCGTGAATAAAGTGTTCATAAACTTACTCAATTCATTATCATTTCACTTATTAATTAATATATGTACATATGTACATGGTAGTATGTTTATCACAAGCATAATTTACATTATTCAATTTTTCCCTTTACTCATAATTTCACAGTGTAAAAAAATACTAGTGTAATTTTTTTTATCATTTATTTTTCTTTTTTTTTGAGATTTTGTTCAACAAGTAGGTATACAAGCATAAATATACATACATACTATGTTTAGGATTGCATTTTCCTTCTTCTAATTTAAAATAACAACAAACCCAGAAAAATCACAACAAAACTGAGATAAATAATAAAAAAAATTAACAAAGCAAAAAGAAATTCATCCCATCCCAAATTCATATGATAAGAAAAACAGAATATGTACCAGATTTGTGTACTACTAACTTCAAAACCTAAAAGCAAAAAATTCCAAAAATAAAAACCCAACAAAGCAAAAACCTAAAAAGGAAGAAATCAACAAAAAAAACCGTTCTTCGTCTACGTACACACATATCATTCGTATACCCATTGTATAATATTGAGTACATATAATATTATTGTTGTACATATTATTATAGGCGTTTAAGAAAAAAAGTTGGTTGCCGGTAGACAGAGCAATAAAATGCATGCATCAAAATCAGACCCTCTTTCATAGGAAAATATTAAATATTACATATACAATCTACTTATATTTGGATGTATGTATGCATATAAATTTTCTGTTTTGATATTGTATTTAACTATACATACCTTGACATAACAAAAATATCAAAAAAAGATATGTCTGTCAGCCGTGATACATACGCATATGTAAACATAAAATTTGTGAGCAATACATAAATTCACGTACCCTAAATTAATCTGAATGTTTAATTTTTTAATCATTTTTTCAATACATACAAATAATTTTGATATGTACATGTACATATACCCTACAATATTAATTTTTTAATATGTACATGTAAGTATTTCTACATATATATATCTAACGTCAGATTTCTTAAATAGTTGGTTTATAGTTACATACATACGTACACAGGAGTACAGGATGCGTCCATGTACATGACATCATAATCTTATGAATTTATAAATAACCAGGAGACGTTGCACAGCACAACAGACGTACATCCTTGTTCATATAAGGTATGCATACATTCATGTGCACAAACGTACATATATAGTGTACAGGGTGATTCAGTAAGGTATACAACAACATACAAAATGTTAACGGTTTTTAGAGTGATATTGGAATAAGAATCAAACATGATGACATTTTTTTGGTTTTTAGCACTTTTCCAAAATATTTTTGTAAAAAGGTCCTTATTACTTTCACTCTGTCCGCCCGTCCGTTCGTGGACATGTTTACAAAACTTCTACACCCTTGTGGATAGAAAGCTGAAATTTAATATGTACATACATCTTTACTTGAAATTTATTTCCGTAGAAGAAAATTTTTACCTATCTCTTCCCCTCTAGAAGTTATACCCCCCAAATTCAGTGGCTTGCTTCTCCTATCGCGGCATACTACAGTTAACTTTAAAAGCACAAAATGGACATTCAAATTTACTGGTATAGTGTTATCTAAAATCCGTTTTTTCCAAATTTTTGATGTGGTTTTTTTTTTCTAGATCCCAGGTTGTAGGAGAATGAAATTTAGCAACTTTTATGTACTGATAAATAGTTTATTTCGTTAGAAGAAAATTTTTTTCCATATTGATATTTGTAAAAATTGAATTTTTGACGCCTTATATTTCCGAAACCGCAAGCTTTTTTAAATTTCTACAAACGCAAAAAGCTAGCGGTAAATTCCATGACATTAAAAAATATAATTAATTTTCTTAACTCATGCAATTAACCCTTAAAATTGAGCATTATGTTAACCCTTCTTTAAATTAATTTTTATTTGGAGTATACATAGATTGTTTTTAAAAACCGTATTTTCACTTGTTTCTACAATACAAACCATTGGTTTGATCCAACTTTATTTACATTTTATTATTGTCTTTTAAATCTTGACATAGAAATGGTTTTTGTGTTATATCTCCTGTACCATAAAAGACTTTTTAATGTATAATGATTTAAATTAAAACTGGCGGAAAAGCCAAAATTTCATAAAAAAAAATTCGAAGTTTCAAAAAATTTCGCACAAAGTTATTAGGTTGGAAAAAAATATAAGAAGGAAAAAATTAAATTTTTTCCAAATGCTATTTATACCGAAAGTACATAATCAAGTAACATGTTTATTTTAAGCCCTTTACTAGGCCTTTTAGAAACTGTTTGTTTGAAGCCCTTACCTTTTTCAGAACAGAAGTTATATTCAAATAAATATGGATAAGTAGAAAATTTTAAAAATTCGTTAAAATCCGTATATCTCGGAAACCCTTGAGACTTCGCACTTAGTCCGGAACAAGAGTTTTACCCATTTTCGACCCTCTAACCAATGGTATATGCGTTGTTGTATACGTTTCTGAGTCACCCTGTATATAATTTCACTCAACATATTTTATTATTTCTTGAAGTTACCCTAGGGAAAATGAAAAAGAGGATTGGTAGTAAAAAGTTTACATTCGCGAATTAATGCCGGCTTTTGGACGTGCTGTAGTCTATGGGGAGAAATTTTTATTCCAAAATTAAAAAGATAAAATTTCTTTACACTATTTAAAGCTGGAACCTGAAGTTATTAAGCTACACAATGCGTTTATATTTGTAAAGTAGATTTTACAGAAATAAAGTATTAATAATAAAGAAAATAATAATAATTATTAATGCAAAATTTTAACATATCCATAGTCAATTATATGTATATGTACATGTTCAACTTATTTTTAAAATATTTGACTTAAAAACATTTACTTGCATTCTCATTAGAAGCTACTTTTATTTATTTATGAAAGTAATATGCATATAACAGTTCTGAAGGGAAAATAAAATGAATGCCCGAAACTGGGACAGTTCTGAACCTTAACTTCTTAGTTAAGCTGACATCGAAGTTATCTCGAAAAAATTTCAACCTGGCACAATGTGTTTAAAAGACAAATGTGGCAGATTGTAAAATTTATAAAATGGTTGGCGTTGTAACGATAATACAACGTATTATTTTCACAATTAGGTGAAAATAATATGTTGGTAAATAAATACTTAAGGTGTCATGAAATGGGTTGCAAACATTTGCTCAAATGTTTTCCAATCATAACCCAATCTAAAATGTTTATCACATTTCGTCTCTCTTTTATTTTATCTTATCAAGATTATTTTAAATTTGAAAACGGATCAACATGTACTATAACGGATCGACTTATACATTTGCACATACGTGTATATGTTTTTATTTCAGATCAATATTTCTCAGCGCTACAGATAGGTAAATTTGTAATACCTTCCGAACATAGCTTGTTCGGGTTTTGCATATATATATATATGTATATCTACAAAATGTAGTATTACTTCAACAGATATTGTATGAAACACGACACTTTCGTCTTCTTAGGGAAAAGCAACATATCTCACACATTTTTAAATTTTCATGAACAATAAAAACCTAATTTAAAGAAACTCTTTGCGCTACGATCAATATTAGGGAAAAGATTGGTAACAAAAATCGATCTTGTATGATTTGATAAAATAAATGAGTAGTTGGTAGTGACATAGCTCATTTTTAAGGTTCTTTTACCTTATTTTTATAAATGTAAGAGTATATGTGTATGTAAGTATATTACGATTTTGTTACACGATGAAGAAAATAAAAATGCACATACATACATATAATGAAAAAAATATGATTTTTTCATTGTTTTACTTCATTATTCAGAAGAAAAATTTTCCAAATATGCACATATAAATATTAAAACCATTTAGTTTTTCCTATATTCTATATTTCTGGATCAACTCAAATTTTTTTTTGTAAAAGCACACATATTATATTATATTACTTACATACATATGTATGTAATTTATTGTTTTTTATTTTTATTTTCAAGAATTTCATAAAATTGCAAATTTATTTTAATGCAAAATTATGGCAACATTAATACCAACAAATCAGCCTTCAAATGTAGAGGCTGTCTACGAAGACATGTTCAAGGAAATAACACGCAAATTATACGGTGAAGAAACTGGAAATGGTTTGCACACGTTAGGCACACCTGTCGCACATGTTGCAACAACTGGGCCTACAGCGCCAGAGGGCGAAAGATCTTTCACGACTCTGGTAACAAAACAAATTATATTACGATTTAAAAGATTGACTTAAAAATTAAATTTTAGATATCAGATCGTAACTTAAACACTATTGATTATGAACAACAGCAACAACAACAATCACAACAGCAGCAAACCCAAATTACTCAACATAATAATGGACTAATAGAAACGGCTTCAACGACAAACCCGCCTAACTTCAAAAGTGAAGATCATTTAACAACCGCTTTTGGATTGGCTGCCTTAATGCAGAATGGATTTCATCCAGCAAGTAATCTAATACCAAAAGTTATAAATACTACAGGTGCTAATTCAACAAACTCAACAATTCAATCGACAGTATCAGTCAATAATGGTAACAATAACAGTGACAGCTCAACAACGGAAGTCGGAAATAATAATGATCAACAGCCTCAGCAACATCAAAGTTGGAATAATCCCAATGATCACTTGCTTCAACAATGGCAAACTGATACCAAGCCTGTTACTTTTCACACTCCAATAGTTTCACCAAAAAATCCCAAGTAAGTTAAGATAGTTTTAAATTTCGTTATAATTATGTAAATATGTATGCACTTCATTATTTTTAATTGAAGAATTCACTTTTAACACATTATAGAGTTTGTGCTCAAATTTTTTCATTTTGCACATTAAAATTTAATAAAAATAATTTTATTTCGTTTTTACAATTCTTTTAGATTAAACAAAAATAAAAATTCAATCCAAGATATTCAATTTCAAGCAGGAACCTCATCGCAACCTAACACTCAAGTGATTCCTCTACCAAAAAAAAACAAAAATAACATACAAAACACCGTATCAAATCAACAATCTCAGCAACCACCAGTCCAAAAACGATATAGTTGCACTCATTGTCCATATTCAACAGATCGGCGTGATTTATATACCAGACATGAAAATATTCATAAAGATGAGAAACCTTTCCAATGTTATGCTTGCCTTAAGCAATTTAACCGCGCCGATCATGTTAAAAAGCATTTCCTACGTATGCACCGTGAGTTAACCTACGATATAAGCAAAACGAGGCGAAACGTTAATAATAATGCATCAAATAACAATACAGCTGTTGATAATAACAATTGTACAAATAATACAAATATAAATACATCTCCATCACCATTGGTTGATCAAAAGCCTATAAATTTATTTAATTCAGAATTAAGAAATGTAACAAACAATAGTTCTTTAACTGAACACTTCCTAAATACTCAAAGAGTTCTACATCAAGCCTCAAGCTCAAGTATAGCACAGACAATAGAAAGCGTTGCTACAGCAACTGAATCACAGATCCAAATCCAGGTAAAACAAGAAAAAATTTCCAATGATGAAAAATCGCCCAGTAAAATAAAACCCCAAAGAGAAAAACGATTTACATGCTGCTACTGTCCTTGGTCTGGTGCTGATAAGTGGGGTCTAAAAAGACATCTAAATACTCATACAAAGCCGTTTGTTTGCATGTTATGTGATTACAAAGCTGCGAGATCAGAACGTCTAGCAACACATGTTCTTAAAGTGCATAACAAAAAAGCATGTAATAAGTGCTCATTTTTAGCTGATACACAAGAAGAATTTCAAACACATTTGAATGAAGTTCAGTAAGTAATTGAAACGATAAAAATTTTAATCTAAAAATCTAAAAAACACTTACATAGCTACATTAAAAATTTAAATGTACTTTCAATTTATAAAATTTTTGTAGTCCGCATGATAATCGACCATCTAGAAGTAGTAGTAATAACTCTAATGTTCTACGAGCAATAAGTTCGAATACCAACAACAATAACAATCAAATTAACAATTTTAATAACACTAACAGTTCTTTCGGGTAATTTAATATTCATCTGTTTTTATTCAAATGCATGAACAAATGCTTTCTTTTTTTTTTATTTTTCAATTTAGATTTTTTTAGCAATTTAATATTTGTGTAATAAATAAAAATTAAACTTTAATATCCACGTGCTATATGAACTAACATTGGTATTAATAAAAATTTATAAAAAAAATTGTATTTGAATATTGATTAAGAAAAAGTCAATATTTCTTCTAAATTATTTTCGCTCAACGATTAGAATTGCGAAGGGCGTGAAAAAAATATTAGATTAAAATTTACATTAACAATTTCCGTACGTCGGTACTACTTAGTAAAGTCATAATGTATCAAAAAAAAACTAATTTTATAATAATAATTTTTATCGAAATAAAAAGTAATTTTAAATTTGTAGTTTTTTAAAATAATTATACAATTATAAATTTTATACACTGGGTCAAACCAATGTATGTAATGTAGCATTTTTCTTTTTAAAAAGTGAAAACACTGCTTCTAAAAGCAACCTATGCACCACATTATTAAAATTACTTTCTTTCATATACGAATATAATATTTCAAAAATTGCATTTATTTAGGATGATTAATGTATGCAATCTTTGAAATAAAACAAAAAAAAACAAATTTAAAGTGGCATTAACACAATTCTCGAATTTAAGAATTAATTGCGTGACTTTAGAAAAAATAATTATATTTTTTATATGGCATGGCATTTACCATTAGTTTTCTGCTTTTTTGGAAAACCCTTGTGATTTCGGAAATAAGAAGCTACTAAAAATACAAATTTTACAAATTTCGAGTGGCGATAACTTGACAGGACGTGGAGGAAAAAATTTTTCTTCCAACGACCATAACGAAATAAAAAATTTCTCAGTGTCTAAAAGCTGCTAAAATTTTAGACTCCTGCAACCTGTGATCTAAAAGAAACGATATCAAAAATTTGGAAAAAACGGATTTAAGATAACAGTCAATTTTAACGACCATTTTGTTTTTTTTAAATACAAATATGGTATGCCGTGGTAGAAGAAGCCAACCATCAGTTTTCTGCGTTTGCAAAATTTAAAAAACGTTTCTGGTTTTGCCTCAATAATTACTTAAACAATTTTTAGAACTTTGGGGGCTATAGCTTTTACGGACGATAAAAATTTTCTACGGAAATAAGTTTCTAGTAAAGATCTATGTATAATGAAATTTAAGCTGTCTAACTTCTAGGTTGTAGAAGTTTTGTAAATATGTCCAGGGATGGAAAGACGGACAGGGAAAAACTAATAAGCCTTTTTTCCCAAAAAATTTTTGAAAAGAATAAAAAGTAATTTTTTCTATCGCGTTGTTCATATAATCACGTATCTACTCTTATTTTTAATAAATCACAATTTATTTATAAAAAATTTTGAATTTAAAATTTCCTTAAGAATATATTAATACATTAATACATTTTTTTCTTATGTGTATAAAATTAAATAAATTCTTAACGATAGAAATGTTCAAAATAACGGAATTTATAGTAGTAACATCAATAATAGTAACGAGTTAAATGGTATGAATAACATACAAAGTTTAATCACGAATCCAACAACAATGGCAGGATGGCGCATAGGTCCAAACGGCTCACTAATACCACCTTCCCACTTAACTGAACCAAATGGTTTAAATAGCAATCCAAGCCAAAAACGCGGAGCGGAGAGACTCTTTTCATATCTAGAAGCTGATGGTAGTGATCCAGAAGACTATGCTCGGTATTTGAAAAAATCATACATATTATATACAGCTTTTTATTTTTTATATTTCTCACTCTTTTTATTTTGCACGTTATTTATAGAGTAAATTTTATTTTATGTTGAATGACTTTAAAATAGGCTTGGGTTTTGACTGACTTCTTCACTGTTGATAAGCCTTTACTTGACAGTATTTAATAATCTGCCAACAAAACGTGAATTCAACCAGATCAAAAAATGTAATCTTTATAATAAGCTAATTTAAATTTACATTAAATTACAAAACATTGATGTTAAATAATGCACTTTTTTAAACCGGTAAATAGACTTTGAAATAATTTCAAAGTGAAGCTACCTCATTTTGATTTACCTGTCATTCCATTAACAATTTCTCTTGCCTTATTTTAGATTCTGAATTACTTGTAACGGAACTGTAGAAAATGTTCAACCATAGAATGAATACATAGTAATCACTAAAAAAAAAAAAAATTACATTCTTATTAAAAATTAGTGTTACCATCTGGATTTTGCTTATTACGATTAGGTTTGTTAGTCATTCACAGCTTCAAGTTAAAAACAAAAATAAAAGCAACTTCTTGTTTTAATATTTCGTAAATTTGAGTCAATAATGATCTAAATTATTATTGTAACGTATTTTTTCGAAGTTAGTGAGGTTAATCTTATATTCGATATGTAGAAACGATAATTATGCTAAGAAATAACTAAATTAAGTAAGGCTTTCAAATACAGCGAAGTGAAGCATACGTAATAACATAAATGCGGTAAAAAACTTTTGGTCCAGCTTGTCATTGACGTTTTTTGTTAACCTTAGCAAAAAAATTGAATGTATGGTCAAATAGTTTTTTTGAAAATTCAACAAAAATTAACATTTTAAGTTAATTTGTGTTAAGTTTGCATAATAATATTTAATTACAATGGGTATATGTAATTAAATATTATTATGCAAATCCTTTCTTTTTTTTACTTTCATTTTTTTACTTTATCAATTTTTACTTAATCCTTTCATGCATATACTAACATAATTACATAATGTACAATATTGGTGTGTTATTATATTTTTATTTTATATACCTCTGCATACAAATTAATTCACTTTTTACTTTACATAGCTTATTATTTTTTTTTATTTACTAAAACTTTCATTGTTACATTAACATAACACAATAATTGTTCAAGTTCTGAATCTAATTGAGACATTTTCCTATTACTTTTTAGCCAACTCAAAATGGAAGCAATTAGTCGAAATACAACCTCAGTCGCTCAGGATTTTCATAATGCGGGAGGCGTTGTTAATCGTAATTATAAAAAGTACATCCAAAAAAATAATGTTTGTCATAAATTAGAAGAGAATAATACCAACAGCATAAGCATGGATAACAATGTTAATTCTCAAGAAACCACATTTAATTTGCAGCATCAAATGAATCTTAACAATTTGAATGAACAACCAAATATAACAAGCAATAACAATTGCTTTATAAATAAAATTAAAAACTCAAATGAACATGATTTCAAAATTGATAGCTTTGATTCGGTAATAATGGCAAAAAAATTCAACGAATTATCCAGTGAACAAAAGAAGGCGATGCTTGATCAGTTAAATAAATCGCCTCCCGCATTTTTATTAAGTAATTGCACGAATTTGACTAATTATAAAGAACAAAGCAGTACGGTATTGAATTTAAGCAAAACAAATAACAGCAGTGTAACTATTAATACAAGCCCCGTTAAAACTCAACCACATCGCCTTGAAATAAATCAAAACAATAAAGAAAACACAAACTCAATATTTGCTAATATGGAGTACCAAAATTTGAACAAATTAAATATACAATTCCAAAACTATATCAAAAATATCATAAATAAATATTATGCTGAAACACCGCTTTTATATTCAGCGTCGTCATTATCACCAACACCTTCATCATCATCATTATCAACAGTAGCAGCGTCCACTTCAGTAAGCAGTTTAGGAAAAAGTCCCAACAAAAATTTAACGAATTCTTTAAATGAGAATATTCAATCAGGTAATAAAACCGAAACAGAAAATTACATTGAATATTTAAAAAACAAAGAAGATATTACATTAATAGTTCAACCAAAGAAAGCAAAATTCGCAACGAAAATTATAAATAATGAACCCGAAAAACCAAGCATTGAAATATTATTAGCACCAAAAAAGAAAATTAATGAGCTATATGTTAATTCAAATATTTGTAATAATATTATCACGTCTGATAAATTATCGGAAGAAGTTACAAATTTAGAATTCAACCAAGACAAGAAACAAACCTCGCTTAGCATTACACAAAATAAGACAGCTTCGAAATTACAAAATATATATCAAAATATTAAGAAATTACCAAAAGTTGAAATTGTTTCAAACAAAACAAATAAATTATCATGTCGAAATAGCGAAATAAAATCTCCTGTAAAATTTCGACAAAATAGTAAAAAAGCATGTAATTCCATCAGAAAACGAAAACAGGCTCAACCAAAAAAGTTTTTATACACTAAAGACAATGGAACAGTTGAGTCTGAACACAAGTTTCCCATCACTTTTACTGCAATTGGACAACCATTAGAATTATTTAAAAAGAATATTCAAAAACTTAATAATATTGGGGTCAAAAAGTGGAAGGTTTCAAAAATTTATGATCCAAAACAAGTTATAAATAGAATGTCAAAATTACGTGATAGACACATGCGAAAATTAGTGGACGAAAAACGCATTTGTGTTTTATGTAACGGAAATCAAATAGCTAAACCAAAATATCAGCAAAATTTCTCGTCAAACTTTCAAAATGAAATAATTTTCCCCTACCATACAAAGCGATCACTTCGCCTTCATAGAATGTGGAAACATACAAACTGGATGCTTGGAACACCTAACATCAAATGCAGCAAATGTAAAAAATGTTTTATAAAAAAATATAGCTTACGGATACATAACATGTTAACGCACTAAAAACTTAAAAAAAACATGTGCCCTTGTTTACAATACAAACAAAATCATACAATAAAAACCCATTTAATGTTAAAAACCAAAAATGAGACATTAGTTTAAGGCAAAAGAAAGAAGAGTTAAGGAAAAACAAAAGCTTTTTGTAGATCTCAAATATTCTATAAGATTCACAGTATATCAGATATAAATTCTTCTTATACTTCTTATTTAGATTTTACATTGCCTATTTTGTATATTTAATATTATACATGTATGTATGTACATATATGTATCATTCATAATTGCCTAAAAATTGGTTTAAAAATTTTCGTTTATTTAAGTGCCTACTTTCAAGTTACTTGATATTATTTCACTGTCAAATTTGATTATAGAATATATTTTTCTTTGGTACCTGATTTTGTTCAAATTTTGATTGTTTTTCTCTTATACTGATTTTTAAATGTATTGAAACAAATTTCTTTTTTACTTTAATAACGCATACAAACATGTGACATTAGAATTTTAAGTAAAACAAAAGTAAATTAAAATGCCAGATTGATGTAATACTTACTTATAATAGAAATGTAATTAAAAATTGAAAACTGCTATTTTAATTATAAATATATTAGTAAATTTTATTTTAGATTCCCAACTATAAGTTCACTCAATTAAAAATAAATGTTAATCAATGTTTTCAAAATAAGACCAACACTTTATCGAGCATCGAATACAACCACTAAAAAAGAAAACATAATATGCAATTCTATATTGAATGTAAAAAATATTTTTAATTTGATAATAATTTTGGACTTACATCTTTTGGTTCTTTTTTTATACATAATACGGTAACCACATTCTCGACAACGAATTGGATCACGAGGCCTCATTTCATTTTCGTGATGACATTCTGTTAATAAGAATTAAAAACTAAGATATTTTGCTGCAAAATATTTCATTTAATTTATTCAGTACTTCCCTTATTCAAAAAGTTTAAATGCTTTTTTTCTACTCTTATACTCTGAACTAATAATACAATATATCCTGCCTAAAAATCTCAATATTAATAGAAGTAGAACGATTCGGAGCCTTTCGAATAAACCAAAGCAAAACAAAATTTATAAAAGAAAATATACTTTCCTTAAAAATCTTTCATTCTCTTCATAATAAAAAATTACATGATCTTTGAGATTCTTTCAAAATATTGAAAATTTTGAACAAGCTAATTTTTTTTTAAATGAAGAATTATGAAAAGACTTATTTTAAGCAACAGGCAACCTGACCTGTTGTAGACATTTGTTGGCTGGGATAATTGCAAATACTGAATTGTTATAATTTCATTTCTTTTCTTTGACAAGACATGTTTTCATCGAAAAATTAATTTTTCCGCATTAATACAAACTAGAGTTGATAATAGAGTTGATAAATATTAGTTTATATTACGTTTATCTTCATGTAATGATTTTATTTTCTCCAATTTAAAATTTTACATCTATTGCCTCCCCTGGGTTTTTATTCACCAACTTATTTTTATAAGTAATAAGCAATTTTTATGAATTTAGTATGCAAACTTCGCACTAATTTGAAAAATACAAGAGAACCACCACAAGAAATCAATTAAAGTTAGGGCACACAATTTTTAATTGCATTGTATTAAGTTTTAAAATTTAGGAAAAACAAATAAATTTAAAACCAAGGGAAATCTTATCAAATTTCAAAAAGCAATATTTTTTTATTCACCTCCGCAAACATATACCATGGCTGTTTTCAATACCGTATCCTTAGTACTCGGTTCCGACATTTTATTTATATTGTTTAAAATTTCTGTAATAGTTTTTTATTATTTAACACTTTTTAAAGGTGTCTGAAATTTATGTTATTTGTTTGTATGCAAGCTTTAAAGTTTTTCTTCCAGATAGCTTTTTCTTTTATTCTACTAAAAACAGAATCCAGACAGGCAGCAATGCGATAAAAATGTCAGAATAGACAAGAGCAGGTAAAAGTCAGAAATAGTGCTGCCACATTAGACCAATTGCGTTACATTTTTTGTGTCAGTGATCCATTTTTTCTATTAAAAAATATTTTGGTTTAACGGCTCATTTATAAAATTTTGAAAAAAAAATTTAATTTTTCTCTTTTCCAAAATTGTTTATATAAACTTTAAGTATAAAAATGTAACCAGATTCTGAAATTTTGTAATAAGATTGTATATTTAATTTTAATGATGTACTATATATGCCTTTTCCATATAAGATTGTGCTTATAGTTATAAAGTATGCTGAAAATGTTGCAAAACCTTTCGCACGAACATAATGTTATAATTCATATTGTAACTTGCATACATGTATGTTTTGTTAAAGATTTTACTCCAAATCTGAAATCATATCCTGAAAATTATTGGATTATTGATACAATAAACCAACAAAATTGGATTATTGATACAATAAAACACCAATGCGACCTTATGTAAAATTTGAAAAAAAAACATTGAAAATTGAGTTAAATTTGAAATTAGACTACAAGAGTTTTGAATTTATTTGAAACAAGAGTTTTACTTTTAAAATTAAGGATATTTTTAATTTTGAGCCTTTTTGCTTAAATTTTAGCCATTAATTTCTTCACGAATGGCAGTCTTGGTCAGAACAAGCAAGAACATCCTATGTAACCCAGCATTTACAAATACAAGTTACTTGCAAGCAAGTTTGTATAATATTAATTGTCAATTAGTTTTTCGAAATGTCAAATTACTTGCTATTATGACGTAGGCGTTTAGCAAGTTAATTTTTGAAAATGTCTTTGAGAAGAAAACAACTAGCAATATATATAATTGTTTATAAATTTTAGAAACCATAAGTTTGCTAAGTTTAATTTTTTAAAAACAAAATTCAAAAATTTTAAATTAAAAAAAAAAATCAAAACAACAAATTTTTTTTTGTGAATTTCTCAATATGTCAAATTACTTGCTCAAATTACTGGCAGCAAAATTTTCTTGCAAGTTGAACTGCAAGTAAACAAGCAAGTAGAAATATTTCAATGGGTTAGTAAAATTTTTGTATATATTGCAACTTTCTTGCAAGTTTGTACGTGTAAATGCTGGGTAAATAACATGTAAACAAATGTGTTCACAACATCTAATACATTAAAAAAGGTAAAGTCTCGGGATTCTACTCCGATAAAACAATAATTTCAATTAGATTTCTTAGAACACTTTAAAAAAAAAAAAAAAAAAAAAAAACAATTATAATTTTTTTAGTGATAACATTTACCACTTTGTAAATGTCGAGCAAAGTATGCATTTTGGGGATCAGAACAGTGTTGTTAATTTTACTACAATTGTAGTTTGTTACTAGATTTTGATATTTTGTACTACCTTACTAAGCCATTTTTACTACTTTTTTTGCATTTATACTAGAAAATGTCATTATTTGCATTCTTTTATGAAAATGCAATTTTTATTGTTGCTACAAAAGCCAATTGCACAACAAAAAAATTTAGGTTCGTATTACAAAATGTATTACCAAAGTATATCTACTAACAAGTAGTTCGACTCTCCGTTTACATCACACTAATGCAATCACTCACCAATTTTGTATACAAAAAATTCCCTTAGTTAAAAGAGTTAAGCAGTATAACTTGTTATTTTCATTTTCATACACATAAGAATTTTTGGGAGAGGGAAAGAGTACGCAATAGATGTCAACCTGTTTTTTTATAATGTATTTTGAAAGGCGACACTTTATTATTTGCTCGTATATAAAGTATAGAGAAAAATATTAAGAATTTTAAAAGCGACACAATATTTTCTGTAATTAATTCCAGTACAAGGTGGCAAAAAATGTGTATTCATATTATAAAAGCGAAACGGAAAAAAAAGTGTTTAAAAAAAATTATTATAACTTATATGAAAAATAAATTTTAAAAAGACGGATAATATTAAAAAAAATTTTAAGTAGTTGTGAAAAAAAAAAATTTTTTATAATAATGGGTAAACATTATTTGAAGGGTTTGGGATGTAATATTGTGTGTGAGGCAAAAAAGCCGAGACGAAAATCTCATTTGTTGCCTGATAATTTGAAGATATGTAGAGAGCTTTGTTCTTTTAAATGAATTCATAAAGCAATCAGTATGCATACACCTTTTTTTCTTTATAAATTACTTTATTTCTATGTCACTACCTGTTACTGTGTATCTACTGTACCAGGTACATGCATGTGTACATTCATACATGAAATTTCAAACTCTTTTGCTTTCATACATTCGAATTTTTTACCTAACTTTAAAAAATGAAAAATAAATTTTGTTATTATCAAAACAAAAACAACAAAATTTTTACCTAACTTAATTTAATTTTACTTCAGTTCAATGTTTTTGATACACTCGTTTGTTTACAATATTTTGTTTCTTTCTTGCCTACACAACTCTTATTACCATCTATTTCTAAAAAAAATGGAATATTTTAAGAATTTGAAAGCAAGATGCAAATGAAAACTAACGGAATGGAACGTGTCGAATTACTTATTAGTAGATATACTTTGATGTATTACTAAAAACCAAACTGATGCTACTTGTGTAGTGGCATACCCCCTTCGACTCTGAAATATTTAACTTTAAAAATATTTTAAATTATAAAATTGTTTTAAAATTTAAATTTTAAAAATATTTTTAAATTATAACATATTTATTGTGTATTTCTAACAAAAATATTTGTTTTATTAATTCCTATGTATTCGTGATACTAAGGAAAACCTATTTGTTCCTTCAAAAATTTTGTGATTAAACCATCACTAATCATTATTGTCACAAAAATAAAAAAAATTACTCAGTTAAAATTGCTCTTTCATTTGTTTAGATCTAGGACCAGTTTAATAAAGTGGCAGTACAAAAAAAAATTTCCATCCAAAATTGAAAAACAACTGAGTTCCCGTTGCTAAATTATTGCTAACTAGGGCTCATTTTTTTGTGATAAGTAGAGTGTTTTGTGAAAATAAAAATTAAAATAAGAAAAAGCTTATAACCAAAATCAATAAACTAAAATGATTGAAAAGTAATACTTAAAAAAGTGAAATATTTACATACAGGAACATGTTCATTAAAAACGAAATTTGTAGACAATTTTCTTTACACATGTAAGTAGATATCCATATATTATATAATACGGACATATGTATAACGACCAAGTTCGTATTTGGAGATTTCCATTTTAAACTTCAAATGATTTGGACCATTAACGAACCAGTATTCCATCGACGTAGTTTTATGTAAAACATGATTGCAAAATATCAATAGCTTAAATTAGGTAAACATGCTGCCAGCAGCGCATGATTCTGCGGCTCGTCACGATATTTGTGAAATTTAATTCTTATAACTTTGTTACAAATCGACGGCTCCAAATAGAACTATTCTAAGAACACTTACAGTGAAATTCTTCTCAGCTTCTGTTAATGCTCTATAACCATGCGTATGCACCTACAAATTTTTGTAACCTAGCTTTAATAAAAATTCCACAAATACAAACCTTTTATTGTAAGTTGTTTAATAGGCTTTCAAATATTGCGTTTACACTTGCAGAAGCTAAGTTTCTTGAACATTATTCTAAAGTGATTTACATTAATAAGATATCGTTAAACTTTTATTATTATGTTTACTAACTTTTATACTGCTCGAAAAAATACAAGTTTTAACTAAAGGTGCAAAAATAATCACAAAATATTAAGTTTTTGTAAAAAAAATTACAATGTTTTCATACAAAATGGATTTGTCCTAACTCTTCTTACGTTTGAAAACATTGCTTTTCATGATATTCTACTTATATATACAATAATAAGCATAATATAATATTTTACAGTAAATGTTGCTAATCGACTTGAACTAATATCGCACAGGATTTGTGGAATATTTTTTATTGTAAGTATAAATACACTAAGCTATTGATATTTTGCAAAAATGTTATTTACTTCGCGGCTGTATATCGACTTACAACGTAAATGCCATTTTTTAGATCAGTAAGAAAGTGTTGAAACCAAAGTGAAGGTTCTGTTGATATTGAAACACTTGATTCAAATTTACAATTGAAACCGAAATGCTGTGCTATTCTTTAGTAAAAGAAAAATTTAGGGATGTGGAAATTACTAAATTTTATAATTATTTACCTATAAATCAATTAAGCATATTTTTGCGATGTTCGGAAGTACATATTTGTGTGAACAATTGTTTTCGATATTATAAAATAATAAAACGGCTAAAAGATCAAGATTAACAGATCAACATGTTCAATCAATATTAAAAATATCAAAAATTACAACTGCGAATTAAGTTCAACCAAATTAACGTTTTTTTGTTACTAATTCGAAGATTTAAAAACAGAAAAACGTTGCCAAATTTCTTTAAAAAAATTATTTTATATTTTTTTGTGTACTATTTGTATGTTTTATATTTTCTTATGTTGACCATAAAAATCATAAACTCCTATAATGTACAAGCCAACTTAATATTTTTGAGCATGTGTGTATCCAAAGTTTTTACTTCAGAAAAAAGACTATGCATTTCTTTAGTACACATATATATAAATTTCGTACGGGAAGGTACGGTAAAAAATTTTATTTGTTATTTAAAATTTAAACTTAGTGAATAATTATATTAATTTTTGTGTTATTAAATAAGATAAAGATTTATAATTTATATTAATTAAATTTTGTCTTTTGTTCATAATATTTATTATAAAACAAAGATGAATTTGGAAAAAATAGTACTTAAATTTATTTAAAAAGAAAAAATTACTTAATAAATTAGTAAGATTTGGTGTAATTTTTAAAGTTTCTATTGTTATCATATTTAGATAAAATATAATAATACATTATATAATATTTAATAATTATATAATGTATTATTATATTTTTTATTAATATTTTGATTACGTCCATATAAATGGGTGTTGTGTCATATAAATACCCGGAGCGTGTTGCGTCGAGGGATGTAGAAACAATAGTATACAAGACAAGAACACCATAAATGCTATACTTACATTAGTTTGCCAAAGAACGAGATCATCAATAATAAATGGATATAAACATTAAGAAAAAGAAATTCGACACCAACGAAATATTTTTATTTTGTAAGTACTTTATAATAATATATAATTTAATCAATTACCTACTAATGTTAAGATTTGAATAACTTAAATAAGTATGTAATTTAATCTCTAATAAAAGAACATTTAAAAAATTTGTGAATTTAGTTGAATACATGTGTAGGTACATTTATGTCATAAAATTTACTGGTTTTCTTATCAAATATTACTAGTTTTAAGAAAAATGGATTAAAAATTTTATTTTTTATGTAAATATAATATATGTATATTATGTAGTTTTTCTAAGAATTTTATTATGTATTTACTATTTTAGTTTTAACTAAATATTTTGCAGTTAAAACCAAAATAGTGAATATTTGTTACCTGTAATTTATTATAATGCAATTTGTTGACTGTAATAAGTAACTAGTTTGTAAGAACAAGAAATTTTATTTTGTTAATGTTTAAACGAAATAAAATAATTTCTGCATATATTTTGTATTTAATTGTTTTTTATTTTCCAAACGTCCCCAATCACCATGAACATTTCTAATTTATTTGAAATTACCTTAATATAAGAATATTATTCTTAACAAAAAGTATGATGATCAATTTTGAATACACCATATGTAAGTATTAGTAAATTGTGTATAAATTGTGTATTAATTGAGTCTTGAGAATAAAGATAGCTGCGTAAAAATTAAACACTCATATTCCGTTAGTCGCATCACTTGAGCCGATTAGTTGTTATTCAAACATTTTGAGTTTTTCAGCATAAAATCATTCTAAAAGTTGAAATCTTATACTGAAAACCAAAATACTTTTCAATAATATCTTCAATAATACCCCATCACTTCGAGTAATGCGGCTAACAAAATATGAGTGGAAATTTGAGTATAATTAGTAGTTTAAGTTTGTGCGGCACGACGCAATGTTCGGAAACCCTAAAATTGTCCGCGATGATAAATTAGTTTTTTTTACATACCTACCTTAAATAAACAAAAAGGAAAAAAGTTAACAAAATATAGTATCTGTGATTCTCATTTCGGAAAGAAAATTGTTTTTTGACAATTTTATGGCAGCGGTCCATTCCAACAATATTTTTAAATTTAAATCCATTGGGGACCTAAGTACAATTTTTTTTTTTAATTTTTTTTTTTTTTTTTTATATGTTCTGACCAAAATATACTTATTGACTAATAAGCCTTTATCGCTAATAAATATATAACGACTTAAAAACTATTATTGAGCCAGTTCATGTGGCTTCGTCCTTTTTAAGCGGCGTACTTCATTGCCAGTGAGTATCAGTTTCTTCGCTTCCTCATTTTGATGGTTCGTTAGTCTTTCTTCATGTTTAGAGGCAAATCTTTTGATTTCAGTCTCAACACTACTAATTTTAAGGTCCCTATGTAGGTCTTTATTGCGAACATACCATGGTGCGCCAACAATCTGCCTAAGGATCTTGTTTTGAAATCATTGAACAATTTCCACATTCGTTTTTTTCGCACAACCTCAGAGTTGGATTCCGTAAATCCATATTGGTTTTAGCACCTGTTTACAAATTAGGATTTTATTGTGGATAGACAGTTCGGAATTACTGCCCAACAGCCAATTTAGTTTTCTTGCTTTTATATTTAGTTGCTCCTTTTTCATTTTTATGTGCTCTTTCCATCTTAACTTCGCATCCAGAGTCATACCCAGATATTTTGCAGAATTCGAATATGGTATTGTTTTAAAATCTATTGTGATCGGAAGTGTTGAAATGTTTTTGTTTGTGAAGTTCACATGTGCGTATTGAGACTCATTTAGTTTTATGCGCCATTTCTTTGCCCAGCGTACAACGTCATCCACTGCAGCTTGTGCCTTTTCAGTTGATGAATTGACATTGTCAGCTACTGCTAGCAGTGCGGTATCGTCCGCAAATGTGGTTGTGGTGACCTGACCCCCCACAGGTAAGTCTCTCGTGTATAAAGAGTATAGTAAAGGACCAAGGACGCTGCCCTGTGGAACACCAGCACTTATGTTTTCTAATTCAGAATTCTTCCCGCCATATCGTACACGGAATTCTCTGTTCGTCAAGTATGAGTTTAGTATTTCATAATACTGAAATGGGGGGTCACGATGAATTTTGAATTTCAGGCCTTCCAGCCAGACCTTATCGAAGGCTTGCGATACGTCAAGAAAGACTCCAGTACAAACTTGTTTTGCTTCGAGAGCTGATTTAATTTCATTGGTTACCCGATATACTTGCTGAATAGTCATATGACCATCCCGGAATCCAAATTGATGTGAAGGTATTAGATTTCTAGGAGCTAATCTTCTGTACAACAGTTTTTCAAAGATTTCTGACATAATTGGCAGCAGCGATATAGGTCTGTACGACGAGGGGATTTGCCTGTTTTTAATATTACTATGATTTCTGCAATTTTCCATATTCTAGGAACGTACATTAACTTAAAGCAGGAGTTTATAATTTATTTGAATCTCAATAACGTGATGTGGGGTAGGTTCTTCATGAGTTCACCAGTGATGAGATCGAAGCCCGGAGATTTTTTGTTACTGATGTTATTAATTTCAGATTTGAGCTCGGCTAATGTTGTTAACGGAACTTCTACCAGGTCGTTTTTATAAAATTAATGCAAATAAATATGTTAATGATATTAAAAAGTATTTATATTTTTATTTAAATCCACGAAACTTTTTTGTTGTCTACAAATATATTCTTAACGTCAGGACTGTAAAGCTTTAAAAGCTTTACATTTAACTTGTACATGAAGCTTTAAAAACTTCGGCTATCAAAAATTTAAAACTGAATTTTCTAAAACACCATATCACAACCAGTGTTTCTGTTTTGACACCTTTCTGCAAAAATTTGCACTTTTTAAGATCTTGTGCACCTTTTTTTTGTTGTGCACTTTTTTTTAATCCCAGAAAAAAGTTATACTATTACGATTACCAAACAAATATGTATTACAAAACTGATTTTTGCAATACTTACATATAAGTTTTCAGAAGAATATATCAACATAAGCGACGCGTTTTATTTCGCTTTAATACTGCATTGTTTACACGATTTATATTATGTTTATGACTTATGAGTTTTTAACGAAAACATCGAGTCTAAAATTTTGATTTGAACTTTGATTTAATTTACTGACGCTGACTGGTTGACTTTACAAAACTGAACTTTATTTCTTTTAAAAATATAAAAACACAAAGTAAAGCTAGATTCATTGGTTCGTCGCTTTTGCGACGAGCTGATGTATTTTGTATGAAAATTTGAATTTTTAACATTTTCTTTATTTTTAGTACAGCTTTTTTTCGCCCTCTCAAAAAGTTGAAACAACTCCAACTTTAGTACCGAAGTTTTTTAAAGCGTCAAATTTGCGTATACTGAACTATTGCAATCTGCAAATAATTCTTGCCAAAAAAGTAATAAATGCACCATAATAAAAAAAAACATCAGCTTTTTTCAGACGAACGAATGAACAATCAAGAGAAAAAATACAAATAGTTCAGCTACAAATGGCGACTACAAATAGCTCAGCTCAAAAACGACGAACAAATGAATCCAGTTTAAATTGTAAGTTATTTTACGAGATGTTCTTCAAAAATTTTTAAGTTTTCACAGTAGTCAGATTTTTGAAATAAATAAAGTAAAATTTTGAAAAAAAAAATAAAGAAAATTTGACATTCCATACTAAAAACTTTTGAAGAATATCCTATAGCGTCTTGTCATACGTCTTACAGAAAGTGGGTGATAATCTTTGAATAAATTTTTGAAAATAAAGGTAATTATTGCATTATTTTTTCTTACAAGGAACTAAAATAAAAAAAAATATTAATATTTTATTTAACTCGGCTTAATTTCACAAAGCTATTGCAAAAGTAAAATCTTGCAGTTTTTTTGCACCTTTAAAAAAGTAAAATCTTGCAGTGGTCCAACGGGAAAAAGAATTTTCATTTAAAAAAAAACAAAACCAAACCGAAAACTTGAAAAAAATTTTAAAAGTTTTATAAATATGTGATCAACGTCAAATTTCAAAGTACTTATCAAACAATAACAAATTTTTTGGTTATACCAAAAACCGAAAATTTGGATTTTGGATTATATGTGGAACTTAGAAAAAACCATTTTTGAACCCATTTTGATTAACATAACCAAAAAAATCATATGTTTTGACAGCTGTAAAAATTTGAAAAGTTTTTAAAATACTAAATTTTACTTTACCAAACTTGAAAAACTTTTTAAACATCGAGAAAATGAGAACGTCATCATTTTCTCTCGTTTTTGTTAAGCCAGACGTAATATAATTATGAAATAGTATAATTTTTTGACAAGTCGTATTAGTTTTAACATAATATACTTTGACGTTGCCGAAAGTAACTCAGTCATTTTTTAATTGAGCTATTTTAAAACTAAAAAATTTTAAACGATATGCTTATTATTTATTGAAATTTTACTGAGTTATTATTTATTAAAATTTTACTGAGTTATTTTTTAATTTTTGTTTCCTAGAGAAAGGCCCAGTGAAAATACATATTTATTCGAAATTAGCAGCAGAATCACTTAAAAATAATTGATGAATCACTCTAGTATCTTAGCCACGGCTGGCAGAATGTTTTTTTGTATTGTCAAGATCTAAAGAAAAGAAAAACGTTATATAATCTACCGCCAATTTTTTTATAGTACATATTTAAATACGGCAGCCTCAATGCAAACAGATCGAACGTCATCTGCACCTGAGATAATGTGAATAGAACATGAATAGATGTGGGTATAGCTTTACATAACAAATATGTATATCTGTCCGTCGTAATATTATATGTACATACCACGGATGACAGGCATACAGATATTTTTGTTATGTCAAGGTACATACTAATATTTTGATAAGAGAATAATGAACTCTTACTTTATGTATTTAAGATTGTAAATATCTACACACATATAAAATTGACTTCGAAAATTTTACAATAACATGGCTAGAATTTTAGTAATTGAGCCTTATTATGGTGGAAGCCACAAACAGCTCTTAGACACAATTTTAGAAGGTAAATATGTACCTTTTAGATTATAACTTTCCCTCAGTATCTGTTGAAATTTAAATTAGTTGTATTTCTATTTTTAAAATTTCAGGCATTAATCCAATAGAATACGAAGTATTTAGCTTACCAGCTAAAAAATGGCATTGGCGACAACGGACAAGTGCCCTATACTTTTCACAAATGATTCCTATAGAACATCAATATTTAATATTATTTACAAGCTCGGTCTTAAATTTAGCTGAACTACTAGGCGTCCGTCCTGATTTGGTAAAGTGCAAAAAACTAGTTTACTTCCATGAAAATCAGCTGGTGTACCCCGTACGGGAAGTAAAAGAACGTGATTGTCAGTATGGCTTAAATCAGATTATGACTTGTCTGGCAGCAGATGAAGTGATTTTTAACTCAAATTTTAATCGTACATCATTTTTAAATAATATAACACCTTTTTTAAATATTCAGTCAGATTTTAAACTCAAAAATCTAAAAGAAAAAATATCTCCAAAATGTGAGGTGTTATATTTTCCTATTAAATTTCATCGTATGCCAACTCGTAACGTGACAGGATCAAATGGCCAAAACGGTTTAGTAAGTTATGAAGAAATATCACCTTCTCTACATTTAATTTGGCCTCATCGCTGGGAACATGATAAAAATCCACAATTATTAACAGAAGTTCTACTAGAATTGCAAAAAAGGCAAGTTGATTTCAAAGCAACTATCTGTGGCGAAAATTTTGTAACGATTCCCGAATGTTTTGAAGGTATAAAAGAAAAATTGGGCCCAAAGTTAATTAATTTTGGATTTCTACCAAGAGATGATTATGTAAAAGCCCTGATGACGGGAGACATAGTCATTTCCACAGCTGGGCACGAGTTTTATGGAGTTTCCATGTACGTTCGAATAATTAGTTAAAAAATTTATTGAACCTAATTCTTTTAAGGTTGGAAGCGGCATATTGTGGTTGTATGCCTATTGCACCAAATAAATTAGTGTATCCAGAAATATATCCTTCCGAAAATTTATACAATACATCAAATCAACTTATAAAAATGTTGTAAGTAAGAATGCTATGCAATGAATAAGCAATTTACTGTATTCCCTTATTTTGCAGATACAATTGGTGTAAAAATCCGAGTTTGTTTCGAAAACACAGAAATAAATATTTTGAAACATTTCAGTTTAACAAATTTTCAGCACAAGAGTTAATACCAAAATATATGGAAAAATTTAAAATATAATTAAAAATTTAATCTAAGATATTTTATACTTTGTTAAGTTTTAGCAAAAGGTAGGAACTTCAGTTTTCATGTTAAGTAGATTTTCATTTGTATCACTTCGTATATTAAAAAATTGAAATTTTGCTAAATCCAAAAAGAAATAGCTCAAAATTTAAATATTTATGTACATACCTACATATTTTACATTTAAAGCCATTCAACAAACATAATGGTACTAATGCCACATACATATATCTCTTAGGCCCCCAAGCTGAAAATATTTTCCGAAATTTTAAATCGGAAAAAATACAAAAACAATTCTTAATGTTTTATATTTTCGAAATAGGTCGTTTGAAATATTTTTTTTATTTTTTGTTGTGAAATTATTGAGTATTCTAATTCTCATTTTATTTAGTTATAAGTTTTACAAGCCATCTAGATTATAATAATTACCCTTTTTTGCTTTTTTTTTTCAATTTTTACTACTTCTTATTCAAAAATTTTACTCTGTAAAGGGTAATTCCCTTCTTTTTTTAAATTTACTCTTCTATTTGGAAGACTACAAAGATTGTCTGTGCTAAAAATTGCATTTTTTTTTTAAATGCATTTTTCAAATGGAGTTTATCAACTAATTTTTTTGTAATTTAAATTTTAAATTTCAAGAAATATGTAGAATCAGTAGAGCCAAAAGTATTGATCAATTTCCTTCACGCAAATAAATTCCGACACACCTTCCATTTAAACTCCATATAAATTTGTTTTTCAAGAGAGTAACTCTTGCTTGATGGTCTGATAGATATAAGTATATGGCATTATATGTACGTACATATGATTTTTTATATATTTTTTATTCGATTTTTACAACATAGGACTTGAAACGCCAAACAGAGAAAAAAAAAGTTTCAACTCAAATATTTTTATTACTTTTTTGTTGCTAGTGAAGTTATTCTCTATTGTAAAGGTATACATATGTGTAAATTAACATGATTTTTTTTCTATTTTAAAATGTTTTATTATTATGCTCTAAATAATTTTTATAACTAGAACTAGGAATCAATTTTAATTTTTTAAAGCAAAACAAGTATTTTCTGTTTATAAATGAAGAACAATTTTAAATTACATCAATTTGAAAATTAAGCACATAAAAATTGATGAAACTCCCCCCATATTAATAAAAATTATAAACTTAGAACAAATTCAGTTATATCAACATTCGGGTCATTTGTTAGATAACTACTAATATACATAAACGATACCACTGGTATATTAGTCGCCAAAAGCTTTTGTTTATCCTCTTTCATCAGAGGTGTCTTTTTCGGATCAACAAAGCAATGTGTAGCTTGTCGAATAATCGCTTCCTCATATGGTGGAGAACATTGAAGAACAGTACCATCCCCAGACTTGATAACGTTTGCAAACGAATTTTGTGATTTTTCCGGTAAATGCAATATAACTCGAAATCCTGTGAAAGCCCCTTTAATAGATGAGTCTGAAAAAATTCGGCAACGCCAAGAATGAAAGGCGTTAGCAATGGCTTGTTCAGCTGATTTTAATACAGGTAAATTTATTGCTTTCGGATTGCCCCATTCATACAATTCCTCCTATTTCAAAAGAAAATTTAATAAATAATTAAATATATGCAAATTTGAAAATGTAAGATTAAACTTACACTCAAGAAGTAACCTTGTTTGACACTATCGATTACATAATTTACTGATAAAATCCATTTGCCCGATGCTACACTACTGAGTAATTTTTCACCTCGATTTGGTCTTTCGCATACAATATGTGTACATTTCGGGTCATGTATGGTTATATTTTCGCAAACTTCCCCCCTTAATTTTTTAATTCCATCAATAATAGGTGTTTTATCCTAAAATTAATATAAAAAATAAGCTTTATTGTATTCTGGTGCGTATTGAATTTTTTTTTACAAAATCTGCTGTTGTCGATATGTTGAAAAGAGGAACACCTTTAAATTCCATCCCATCAGAATGATTTCTCTTGTTTATAACAAAATTCATGTTATCGCCCCAGCCAACCATTCTTTCTGAGTTAAACATGATTTCAGATTCATATCTTTGCGGTAAACCAACATTTTGAGTTTCTTCATCAGTGATTACTCTTGTTATTGGAGGATTTTTTATTGAATTTGATTTACGAGCGCTGTTATTTTTTTCTTCTTCACAGGTCTTTATAAAATCTTTTAAACGCTTTACTCCTGGCGAAGCTTCATTAATATTGTTATGTTTTTTTTCTAACAAATCAGAATCTAATACTGGTTTTGTAACGTTGATTTCTTTATTCTTAGTCATTGACTTTTCCTCTGCTGAAGTATTTTCTGTACTAAGTTGGTCTTTTTGTGCAGACATCTCTGAATCATTTCTAAAACTTTCCAAATGAGCTAAAAAGTCCGCAGGTAAAGTTTCTCGCCACAGACGTCTTTTAATTTCACTCAGAGGCTAAAAAAAGTATAGAAACACTTTGATTTCTTGATAATGGTAACTAAATTATTATATACACTACAATTTGAGAAATAATATGGTATTGAAATATATAAAATTTTATTTTGTCCATTTAACTGGGAGATGTTAACGATTTACTCTTTTCTGTTAACTAGATAAGGATATTTAAGAAAACAGAAAACATAAACAAAAGTTAGCCACAAAAAGAAGAAAAAAAGGGTTTACAAAAGCTATTTAAAGAGATTTTCATAAGTTCTTTTATTTTTATTATATATTCAAATATGTAAAAAATTTCAATTGATTGCCTTTTCGACTTACTGTATCAGGTTTTCGTTTTTCTACTGATAAGTGCCACCTCTTTTCAAGAAGATCAAACATTCTTTTTCTGAATTCTGGTGTTTTACAAAAATCTTTAATAAATAAAAGAACTTACAATATTTTCTAAATATTAAGTAAAGATTCAGCAAAAACCTGGAATTGTAACTGGAGAGCCAGGTGAATCTATTCCTCCTGGAGTTTTTACAAACTTTTTCAATCTCTCCAATTCCGGGGTCTCCGTATTTTTAGCTTTAAGTAATATTTGTTTGCAACAATCTCTTACATCTTCATTTGAAATATTACTCAAATATGCGTCCAAATCATCAAATACGTCAACAAAAGGTGACACAGGTGAAGATATTTTTGGCATTAAATTTTCATCTGCTAAATTTTTTTCATCAGTAGGAGATTGTTGATGTTGAGGTCCACCTGCTAGTTCCGAAACACGTCTATGACGTAAAGGTGTGACATAAATATCATCATTTATATTTTTTTGGGGACACCGGTCAGGTGTAGAAAGTTTTATTTTTTTGAATTTTGTTGACGTCGGTGTTTCTTCACCTAGACTGTTTATACTATTTTCATTATGCAAAGAATGTCGGTCATTAACTTTGCTTTCCCCAACTAAATATGGGTCCATTTCAACTTTTGTTCCCGTTTCAGCGCATTTGATGAGCCAATCACTTACAACTGCTGGGTAACCTAAAACAAAGTTCATATTGATAAAATTAATATGTTCCACATTAATTTAAACAACAACTAAAAATCAAAGAAAATATAATTAACTGGTATAGTACACATATTTGCCTTTTATATTATTTTCTCTTTTCTTAAAATAACGTTAAAAATATACTTAATAGAAAACACATAAATTATGTATTTGCAAGTAAATAAAAAGCACCAATTGTCCACAAATATTAAAAAAGTTTCCCATTTTGAATTTTTATTCTTAAGCAAAATAAAAGTACAAAATGTAAAAATTAATTTCAAGCGCAAAAGTTCTAGCTCATTTTATTTAAAAATATCATATACCCCACTTGATTGCAGCCTTATATTTCATTCCTTCTGGATACGGTACAACAAGTAAAGCTTTATCTTTTTTCATATAAGTATCTTTATACGTAGCCCCAAGCACAATACTTAATTGTTCTAAAAAACATCTTTGTGAGCCTCCATAAGAGCTTACTACAATTACCATGCCCTTTAGTGGTTTTTTATTTGCACTTAATGGTATTGGTTTATGGAAGTATTCAATAGGTACCAGTTCATTTGCAGTAATTGCATCATCCTAAAAAAAAATATTCAACATCAGTTTGTACAAAAGAAATTAAAAGTCAATTATATACCATCCAAAGCCCATTAACAATATTTTTTGCACTAACTGGAATTTTTGAGATATCTACTGCCATTTCATACGAAACTATAACATAATCAACTTGATCTCTGTAGCTATCACTTACAAGTTTTCCAAGAGCCTGTTCACAGTCACAAACTATCTGAGAATACAATTCTTGATCATAGTTTTTGTCAACATATATGGCTAAACCATCAAAAAAATTAACGTTACTAAGATCTTGAGTATTTGATTCAAAACAAGAATTTAATTCTGGAACATTTTTAGTTTTGCCACAATCTAATTTTATTTCTAAATTTTCGTTATTGTAAACTGTTTCTGATTTATTTGAACTCCCTGATATGTTTGATATGCAAACATTGTTTTTCGGAGGTACTTTATCCTTAGGAATGTGAGGCAATGAAGCATTATCAGGTGAATAATGACATAATAAGCCATTTACTTCTGCTTCATCAATTATGGAGTATTGATCTTTAGAAGTTGCTGTAGCTGCGAAAAGCTTTTTCCGTGGAAGTTCCGGTTTTTTAAAACTATGGTTTAAGACTTGTAAAGACTGTTAAAAAAAAAAGAAAAAATCTAATCCACTTTTATTAAAGCATTACCAAACCTTTTTACTCCTTGGAGAGGGAGCTTCTAATTCTCTTTGAATAGGCAATTTAGGACGGTACAATGAATCATTTAAAATTGGTTGTTTAGCTTTTATCGAGTCAACTATCCAATCCAACGTGACAATTGAAGCCTCTGTGGTCATAGCATTTAGTTCATTGAAATCACTCTCGCCCAAATCCCCAACTATTACGTGAGTTATTTTGTGATTCATTTCTGAGTAATAGTTTGCGCCACTAACGCCCAATATCTTATTTAATTTATCTTTTTCTTCATCAGTAAAGCCACATAAAAATATCTAAAAAGAAAAAATTTTAAAATAAATTTTTTTATTATGATTATATTTATCATACAGAACAGCCATCCAAAAAATTTCCAGCTCTTTTTGCTTGTTGCGTATTTATGCTACATAAAATTTTCTTGTATAATTTTTTATCAGCTGCCGCCGTTTTCTTTGCTTCATGATTTGCTCTAGTTGATCTATCATTAAGAAGCACGCTTTCTACGCTTGCATTACTGCAAATTGACATTTCATTCTCTATATGCTGATTCCCCAGACTTTCTACACGTGAAATATCAGATAATTGAGTAAAATTCCCCACAAAATCCGGTATACCTTAAACATTTCATCACATAAAAATAAAATTGGTCATATTATAAAGAAAATTTTTACTGTTATCAATTTTTGTCGGTGTTGATATTTTAAGACTTTTAACCCTATAATTAACTATTGGAAGCGCATAGCCTTTAGCTACGCTATCGAAAACCCAATCCGGCTTCAGAACATCTTTTTTGCATTTTACTGCTGCTTTGAATTTCTCAGAATGGGCACACTCTCGCACAGTAAGCAATATATCAGTTTGCGTTGATTTGAAAGTTCTTTGAAAGATTCCGCCATTATCAGTAACCAACTTCATTATTTTGTCTCGAATTTCTCCTGAAAGACCTGTTGTGGTTATATTAACTGCATAAAAAATTGGTAACTTGTATTTATCGAAATGTGCATCTGTAGCTGAAATGCTTTCATTCTTGCTTTTCTCCCAGACTGCAGTTACCCATTCGGGTAACATAACTGGGATTGAATTTAAAGTTGCTTGTTCATATTTCGTTGACTTAATTGTATTAGAAACAAGATACAAGTTATCTGTTCTTCTCAAATCTTTTATATAATGTCCTCCCATATATGATATTAGTGTTCTTAAATTTTGCTAAAAATATATAGTACATAATGTGTTAAAACATACATACATGTTATATGAAGTTATCTTAAATTTGGATTTGTAGTTCTAATCGATCTTGAAGCAAACCATTAGTCACCTTTTCACTGTCCTTTAAACCAGATATGCAAATTGACATGTCTCTCATTGATGTTGCAAAAATAGGAGAAGTTCCTAATGGTACAGATAAATCATCGAGTATGCATGATAATAAACATCGAGGACCAATTACACTTAAATAAAATATGATGTTTAAATATATCATTTTTTTATATCATGTTTAAGTACTTACAGCGCGGCTGTAGTTTGCAGTTTTTCAAAAACCTCCCCCTCAAAAGCCTGCAATACAAAAATATGTTTTTTGGTCAGAACTTCTTTCTCCACAAATTCGACAACATCTTTTTCAAGTATCCAAGTTATTTGTTTATTATCAATATAATTTTGCAAATACTAAAATAACGAAAAATTATGAAAATATCTACTTTATTTGTCAAGGTACTCAATTTAAAATTACTGTAAAAGCTGAGTTCATAACTTCAGTAATATTTGCTTCCAAAGGTTTTTTTTTATAGACAAAATATACGTGAACACCAGTATCTTGAAAGCTTTCCATTTTTAAAATAAAAATATACCCCGAAATTTAACTAAATATTAAATGTTGTCAAAAATGCCGCCAAAACAATGAAATGAAACTAGGTATGTAAGTTCGGTGCTGCCAACTAACTTTTTCGTTAATAAACCCCTAAGAAACTGATATCTATTTGTTGTCTAAATTTTATTTAAAAATTAAATTTTAAACTTGTTCTGCAAAATCTATGCACAAATATTGTAAACTTTTTATATGGAAATTGTTTTTGTAATACTTTTTTATTTAACAGGTCTGTCCGGGATAAAACTTGAAAAAACTTTAAAAAGAGAAACAGTGTCATTTCAAAGAAAGAAAAAAAATGTAATTTCAAAGAAAAATGAACCAGAAGGAAAAGTTGAAAACTTTTAGACTTTTTAAATAGGTGATATATGTGTGTCAAATTTCAATATATTTATCAAACATACACAAATAAGTTATACAAAAAACCGAAAATTTTTATTTTATATTATGAAAGTGTGAAACTTAGAAAAAAACATTTGTGAATCCATTTCGTTTCTTTTATTTTTAATTAAAATATTAAAAAAAAAATGATTGTTAAAGAAATTTTTTTGAAAAATAAAACCTTCTGACATAACCTAGAAAAAAATATTGCTTGACAGCTAAGATTTTAAAAGTTTCTAAAACACTAAATTTTACTTTACAAAACTTGAAAAAAATTTAAACATTGAAAATTGAGAAAATGTACATTTGATATTAACAAGTTTGTCAATTTTTTATGGTATGTCTCCCACAATGCATACTTCTTATATAATTACATATATATCTGTAAAATACACTATATTAGTCAAATTAATTTGCTTCATAATCACGGTTGACAAAAATACTGATTTTTTGTAATGTCAAGTTCATAATTCATAAAAATTATTGCATATGTTAATGTCTTTATATCTAACAAGTCCCAATACTCAATTTTTTTTACGAAATGTTATGAATTTTTGGCCTCGTTGTTGGTTTTTTCTTTAAATGCCACTGATCGTGTCATATTTTTTATTATTTTTTTCTTTTTTTTACGTAAAAAAGAGATTAATATTTTAAAAAATCTCAGGATATTATACACATTTTTTAAAAAGCTTCCCATTTAAATTCTATTGCACGAAAAAGAAAGAAAGGTAGGAGGAAAGAAAAAATGAAAAAAAATTTCAAATTCATATTTCAGTATGGTTTTAAATGTTAATGAGGAAGGATGTATGATTTTTTATGCACATTTTGTATTTCCCAATAAGGTAAGTTGAGTAGTGTCGGCTAACAAAAATGTTACTAAAAGTAATATAGGTTGACACATTTCAACAATTTGAATTATCTCATTTCGATTATTCATACGTTACTTATAAAATTGTTTCAAATAATTTCAGTTAGTTTTTAAATTATTAAAAATAAATATGTATGTACCTACTTCCAATAAATTTTCTTTTAAATAATTATTTTAAAACTATTTCAAACATGTTATATTGAGTGCTTCAAAAATTTTGCTGTGCTCTTTTTTCATATTTTATTAGCAGGTAAACAAGAACAATCTATTTATAAAATGTCCCTGCATGTGTATGTATGACCTATCTTAATTTTAAACGGAAAGAATTTTAAAATACCCGAACAAAAATTTTAAAATACCTGTTATTTTACAGTCGGAATTTTCGAGTCACTTGGTAAAATACCATTTATTTCAAAAATAGAAAAATATTCAAATCCGGTCATAAAAATATATGATTGTTTTTTCCAAACATTTTAAATATTTTTTTTTCTTAGGTAATTGATATAAATGATAGTAAGTTTTTAATATTTTTTCAAATAAAAATAGACGTAAAATTTTGAAGTTTATATAAAATTTGTATTTAACAAATAATATTTGATTGTATTTTAGATATTATTTTCTAATTCCCTCTTCAAATTTTTTCTTTACTATGTATTTATATCAATATTTAAGAATTATCTTTCATTAATTATATTTTCAACTTGACACCACAGGTACTTCCCATATCTTGCGTTAACTTACCCTATGAGAAAAAAAAGCTGTTCACTTAAAAATAATGAAATGCTTTCAGTAACAAATAAAATGTTGAAGGCGAAGGTTGTGTTTGTTGTTTTTCCGCTTTTTTTTAAATTTTAAAATAATTATCAATGAAAATATTAATATATTTTTTTGATTTTTCAAATATATGTTCTAAATTTTACCTGCTTTATAATAAGTGTGAACTTATTTTAATATTTCTTCTCAAAAAATAGCCACTTCGATTTAAAAAAGGCCATATAAAATAAGGTGTGCTTTCAAGTTTCTCTCTGAGCATTGGGACTTGTTAGATATAAAGACATTACATATGTGTATTCTTTTTATAAATATTAAGTCCATATTTATATGTAATTCTTTTTATGTATGTATGTGATTTAAGTTATATAAGGAATTATATTCAAATTGTTAGTGAAGCTGCATTAACTGGTTCGTCGTTTTTGAGCTGAGCTATTCCAAGTCGAACTATTTTTTCTCTTGATTGTTCATTGGTTCGTCTGAAAAAAACTGATCGTTTTTCTTGTTATAATCAGGACTGTCGTTTGGCTATGATCGGAACCCTTTGGCACCGATTTGAAAATTTGTGTCCCCTGCGTCTCCTTTTGCATTTCGCCTCAGATTTTTTTTTTCCTCAGTCAAACCCAACAGTATTGATAATTATTCTTGAAAAAATTTTTCAGTTGAGAAATATAAATTCTAAATAAAACAGGTAAAAACGTTTCAGTCGGTATAAACCGATTAAATTATACCTTGCATCTTTCATTGTTGAATAGTAATTACTCGAACCTGTGAAATAGAAATTTCATAGAAACTATAACGGATATTTCTGGCCTATAATTGGAGACACAATTGCCAAGTTTCATGAATCTGACTTTATTATTTTTGTAAATATTTAAAATTAGCTCTTAGTGTTGTATGGCAGGTACGCGAACCTGTCAAGCAATTCCGTTAAAAATTCAGAAATATATTTGGCCTAAAATTGGATACACGACTGCCAAGTTTGATTAATCTGGGTTTATTATTTTTCGGAACATAAAAAATTTTCTTTTGGAGTTGTATGCTGACAGCCAAACCGGTGCCGCCATCCCATTAAAATTTTTAGAGCATATGTAGAATGTAATTGGACATACGTATACAAAATTTCATGTTCATACCTTACTAATTTCTGAAATATTTAAAATAAGCTTTATGAGTTTTATGGCAGCTACCCGAACCCGTTGTCCGAATTAATCAAATTACAAAAGAGCCGTCCTTGGCACAAAAGAAGAAACGTATATGAGATTTCATGTAAAAAATATTATTTTAAGTTTAAATTTTTATTGTGATACTTTTTAATTCAAATTTATTTATTAATTTGTTTATAATTTTTGTTTTTCCGATTTTTTTGTATTCGTATGGTAATAAATTGTTATTTTATGAAATATAGGAATTGGATCCATTTTTTTTAAAACGGCTCCCTTTTTTGAATATGTCTGCTCCCCATCCAAAAAATCAAACGACAGCCATGGTCATAATGCATTTATCTTTTTCGACAAGAATTTTATGTAATTGCAATAGTTCAGTTAATGGTTTTATAATAATGTCTTTATATCTAACAAGTCCCAATGCTATAAGAGAAACTTGAGAGCACGACGTTATTTTATATGGGTTTTTTTAAATCGAAGTGACTATTTTTTGAGAAGAAGTATTAAAATAAATTCACACTTATTATAAATCAGGTAAAATTCCAAAAATATATTTAAAAATCAATTAAATATATTAATATTTTCATTCATAATTATTTGAAAATTTTTAAAATACATACAAAAAAGCGGAAAAAAGACAACCACAATTTTTATATGGTACTGAAAGTAATTTAAGTAAACAGGTAACTTAACAAAGAGGGTAAGGGTAAGTTAACTCAAGATATGAAAAGTAACTGTAGTGTTAAGTTGAAAATATAATTATGAAAGGATAATTATTAAATATTGACATGAATACAGAGTAATAGAAAATAATATTTAAAATGCAATTAAATATTATTTTACCAATACAAATTTTATATACACTTCTAAATTTTACCTCTATTTTTATTTAAGAAAAATTATTAAAACTTAATGTATTACCAAAGTAAAAAAAAAATATTTAAAAGGTTTTGGAAAGCTATTAAATATTTGAATGAATAATATTTAAATTTTTGGAAAAGCTATTTAATATATTTTAATGACCAAATTCGAATATCTTTTTTATTTTTGAAATAAATAGTATCTTAGCAAATCACTCAAAAACTCCGGTTGTAATGATGTAAATTTTTGTCCGTTTGCATTTACTATTATGATTTATACACAGGCAGGACCATTTTATAAATAGATTGCTCTTGTTTATCTGCTAATAAAATATGAAAGAAGAGCACAAAAAAATGTTTGAAGCACTCAATATAACGTGTTTAACATGTTTAAAATAATTTTAAAATAATTATTTAAAAAAAATTCAAAAAACCGAAAACTTTGATTTTACTTTTTAAAAGTGTGAAGCTTGGAAAAAACCATTTGGAAATCCATTTTGTTTATTTTATTTATTATTAAAAGTTTTGAAAAAAAAAATTATTGATATGAAAATTTTTTTTTGAAAAATAAAAATTTGTGACATAACCAGGAAAAACATGTGTTTTTACAGTTGTAACCCAGCATTTACACATACAAGTTATTTGCAAGCAAGTTTGTATAATATTAATTGTCAATTAGTTTTTCGAAATGTCAAATTACTTGCTATTATGACGTAGGCGTTTAGCAAGTTAATTTTTGAAAATGTCTTTGAGAAGAAAACAACTAGCAATATATATAATTATTTATAAATTTTAGAAACCATAAGTTTGCTAAGTTTAATTTTTTCAAAACAAAATTCAAAAATTTTAAATTAAAAAAAAAAAAAAATCAAAACAACAAATTTTTTTTTGTGAATTTCTCAATATGTCAAATTACTTGCTCAAATTACTAGCAGCAAAATTTTCTTGCAAGTTGAACTGCAAGTAAACAAGCAAGTAGAAATATTTCAATGTGTCAGTAAAATTTTTGTATATATTGCAACTTTCTTGCAAGTAACTTGTATGTGTAAATGCTGGGTAAGATCCAAAAGTTCTTAAAACACTAAATTTTACTTTACCAAACTTGAAAAAATTTTAAACATTGAGAAAATGAAAACGTCATCATTTTCTCTCATTTTTGTCCAAAAAGGCTTTGCATGCAAAAACTTTTTTAATAAATTTTTTAAAAATTTTTCATTAGATGACAAATATTATTTAAATATTTTTGTATGTCTATTAAAATAAGAAAAAAGATATTGCTGATACTTTACTAAGTCCCCGAAATTCACATATTTTCGTATTCGATTTCTGTAAAAGTGACGTTATTTTCGAAACAAATGATAATCAAGCATAACTGCAGAATTTACATCTTACATATTGTGCGAAATGTTGACCAACATTTGTATATGCTCTGCTTGAACACTATCAAATAATTAGTAACATTTCATTATTGCTAAAGTAAGTGTGTTTCGTAATTTTCGTAAGAACATTTTAGTTATTTATTGAAAAACAAAAAAAAAAAAACAACAATATTTTTAATTTTTATTTGACCTAATGTGTAAATAATTTATGGAAAATGGAAGAAAAACGTATCGCAGATTATTTTGTTGTAGCTGGACTGCCTGAAAATCCACAATTATTGCAAGAAAATATATTTAGTGACTCAGGTCATTTGAAATCGGCTGGTAGTGTTGAACCAATTACAGATATTGGGGTTTTTTTCCCCGACTTAGGAGAAGAGCCTCCCCAAGGTTTTGATGTTTTAAATGAAACTGTTTCAGGGTTATACGCAGATTTAAATTTTGGGTCAGTTAGATCTTCGCAGTGTCTTATATATTACCGACGCGGAAGAGAAAGTCCTCCTCTTGTTGATATTGGTGTTATGTACGAAGGTGCAGAAAGGATTATGGCCGATGCTGAAATGGTTTTAGAAACACCAGGGAAAAGGGTTGCAAATGTTAACAATTCCACAGCGAAAACTTATTTAACATTTAGAAGAGCCAAAGCGGACATGCCTTGTAACGAGCTAGTGGTGACAGATCTATGTGTTATTATTCCCTCAAAAGGTGAGAAACCGCCACATGCTTATTGCCAAATACATAAAACTCTCAATAAAGGCATGATGGGGTGCGATGTATATCTTTGTTATAAAAAATCTATGAATAGACCAAAACTTATAAGTTATCAACCTGAAATTTTACTGAGATATCCGACATCAGATTATTTAGATTTTCCTCTAAATTTATGCCCTAGTGTACCCCTGTTTTGTTTACCAATGGGAGCATCACTCGAAGCATGGCCACATGTTGAAAAAACAAAGAGAAGAAAAGCTAGTGCACCAATTTTTAGCACATTTGTTTTAACAGTAAATGATGGGACTTATAAAGTATATGGATCGGCGTTAACATTTTATGAAGATTTTGATCCACATTTGTTAAATGAAAAACAACAAGAATTATTAGGTTGGAATGACGAATTTCAGCAAACACATTCTTTTCATACAAATAAAGCTATTTGTTTGTTATCACATTACCCATTTGGAGACACATTTGAAAAATGGTTAAGATATTTACAACGTTTATCAATTTTAAATGAAAATTTGCCGATTCCCATTGAGAGATATATTGTGCAATTATTAGATGAAGTTCCATTTCCATCTCCAAGTATACTACTTCAGCTTTCCAGCGAAAGCAGTGACCGAATTCTGTTAACCCAACCAGAAGATTCACCTCTACCGCAAAGTGGAGCAGGATTCCAGCATCTATTGTCAAACTTAGGTCCCGAAAATTGTCTGCATATATTAATTCTAGCATTAACTGAGCAAAAAATTTTGATTCATTCATTAAGACCGGCTACATTGACAGCGGTAGCTGAAGCAGTCATATCGTTACTGTTTCCATTCAAATGGCAATGTCCTTATATTCCACTTTGTCCGTTAGGCCTAGCAGAAGTGTTACACGCACCACTACCGTATTTAATTGGAGTTGATTCCAGGTTTTTTGATCTATATGAACCTCCACAAGATGTAACATGTGTTGACTTGGATACTAACACAATTAGTTTATGTGAGTCTCAAAAACATTTAAATCCGAAGCTCTTACCAAAAAGAGCAGCACGGCTACTTAAACAATCACTAAAGACTTTAGAAGATCTCAAGCAACAACATAACATAGAGTCAACGAATAGTTTGGATAGAGATTTCAAAAAAAAGAAAAGAGAATTAGATTTAGAACAACGAATTCAAGAAGCATTTTTATTATTTATGGCTTCAATTTTAAGAGGTTATAGAGATTATTTAGTACCAATATCAAAAGCTCCGTCAATTGGGGCAACCGATCCTAGCGCTTTATTTCAACTTAATGCATTTCTAAGATCCCGCGATAAAGCTCATCAAAAATTTTTCCAGCTTCTTATGAAAACGCAAATGTTTATTCGTTTTATAGAAGAGAGATCATTCGTTTCTGAACACGATCATGGTTTAACGTTTTTTGATGAATGTGCTGATAAAGTTAGTCTATTCGACGAATCAACGGTTGATATTAGGCTAATTGATAATGAAATTGGACATAACAGTGAAAGGACTAAATATATTTTACCTCCGGAACCAGTTTCTAACAAAGATTCTAGCACAATGTATAATTATGGAACTTTTACTTTAAATCGGGGCTTATTAGTTGAGGTAAAAAAGAATCATTTTACGAAAATAGCTCAGCAAAATTTTAATCATATTCCTGGTTCACCGGTAGCGATTGCAAGACGAACGAAACATGAAATTAAATCGGCCCAAAAACTAGCTCGGGATTGTCAAAATAATCCAGAAACTTGGGCAAAATATCTTTTGGCCACGTGTTATTCATTATATTTTTTATTATTGCCAAGTATGTTAATAGAATCGCCCGGGAAAGTACATTCTATTTTAAGATCAGCCTATGATTTACTTGTCCGCGCCAGCAAACTTAAAATCAATTGTGATGAGTTCTGTTATAGAATTATGATGCAATTATGTGGAATGCACAATTTACCCGTATTAGCGGTGCGACTGCACTACTTGATGAAGAGATCTGGTGTCCAACCAAATGCTCTCACATATGGTTTTTACAATAGATGTGTTTTGGAATCTGAATGGCACAGCGATAGCACAACTCTAAGCCAATTACGTTGGAACCGGATAAAAAATGTCGTTCTAGGTGCCGCACATTTTAAGAAAGCCGGAAAAAAGCATGTAATAAGGAAAATGTATTTAGATTCGTGTGAAAACAATTTAAACACCTTGGAAGCGGTTGACGGGACTTCTCTGACTAGCTTAGATTCGGGAAACTCTACCCAAATAAATGAAAACAATGCTCAAATTTTGGTAAATTTTACTTCTTTTGAAAAAATTAGAGACAAACGCGGAGCAATTGTGCGAACTTCTATGCAACAAGAATCGGATAATGTTATAAGCAGTGCTGGACTTTTAATATCCGGAGAAATCAACACAAAATCGAATCCCGAAATCAGAATATCTCAACCAAAAATAGACTTTCCTGAAAATGAACCTACAGTAGAATATAGCTTAATTGAAAAAGGTAAGTAAACATATTAAAATTTTAAAAAACAAATTTTAAAGTCATAAATATTTTTATTTTTAGAAAATAATATCTCCAAGTGCTTATCAAGTAGATTGCAGAAAACTCGAATATATGACAAAATCGGAACATCTTTTGATAGCATAAATGAAGATAACGCCAATGGCTCAAGTCCAACAAAAATGTCTCCACGTACACCAGTTACTCAAAATGACCCATTAGGAGCTTTAAATGATGACATTGTGCAAACTAAGTTGGTTGAGGGAAATAAAGTAGAAGAAAAGCAAATAAATGTGAATCATAATTTATATTCTGATACACCAGTGCTTTTTAAAGGACAAAGAAGTGCGACCTTTGATGGCGGAACTTTCTTAAACAAAGGAATGCATCGATCCGAAACAATGCCAACTTCAAGAGTTACCTCAAGTCTGTCGAATTTTGGATCGTCCTTAAAGTTTAACTTTAGTCCCAGCAGTTTAGTATCTGGAAAAAAATCAAATGAAATTTTGCAGGGTAGCATCAGCAGTATTAAAAATGCAGCTACATCATTTTCAAAAAAATTAGATGAAATAAAAGAAGCAATTTCAACTCCTATAAAAACTAATTCTTCTTTGTTGAAAGATGTTAGCAGTGAGGACGATTTATTACATAATGAAGAACTGAACAGCATGAAATGCCGTCGTGTAACAAGTGAGCATGATTTAAGAGAGAAGCAAAAAGATTATTTAGCGAAAACTTCAATTTTGGTGGACGGAGGACCTTCATTGATATACAGTTCTTACCCTGCTTTACAGGAAAACTTTTATAGTCAGTCAAACGAAATTCAGGAGAATAGTGATGCCGAAATCTTAATTCAAATCACATCTTGTTGTCAATGCAGACAGTGTTCAGTTCTTTTATACGATGAAGAAATTATGGCTGGGTGGGCTGCTGAGGATTCCAATCTAAATACGACCTGTCATGCTTGTAACAATTTAACAGTGCCTTTTTTAACTGTAAATGTTTATAATAGAAAAGGGCCAATAGAAAGCCTTAAACCAATTGAAAGTTTTACTGTACCATATTTAAACCCTGTCGTTTTGCGTAAAGAATTAGAAAACATTTTATCTCAAGAAGGTGATCAAGCTCTAATAAAAGCTTCATTTGTCCAAGATCATCGTATTGTTTATTGGAACTTATTATATTGGATGGACAGAATTGATAGTTCAACTCATTTGCCAAATTTATGTTTACACAAACAATTAACAGACAGTTTTGATCCTTTGAGTAATATGAAAACTATTCAAGTTCAATGTTTGTGGGATAATTTAGGATTACATAAAGAAACGGGACCGCCGATGTATATCTTGTGGAAAGAACATCAACCGTCAAGTCCATTACTTAAAGCTCTCTTAACAGATCAATCATTCCTTAATCGAACTACAATACAACAAATTATTTCTGCTATTAGATGTAGCGATTTATCCATACCGATCAAGCGTTTGGCTAATGAAAGGCAAAAGATAAAAAATTCTAATGTTTCAGATAAAAGCTTATCAATTTATAGAAATTTATTATTTTTAGCTTTAACAGTGATAGGACGAAATAACATTGATATGAGCTCATTCCACCGAGAATATGCATCGGCCTTTGAAAAATTACGTGACAAAGAAACAAATCTAAAATGTAGAACAGAAGATTTTCCTCCTTCACTTGCTGCAATATTTTGTCGAGTTTATTTTAAACCGCTGCTACTTCCTTGACTGCGAAAAACAGTATTTTTCAAAAATTACGTGTTTTCTACATCATACATATATTTCAGAAATTAAAATAAAGTAAGCAGCAAGCTTTCAGAACAATATAAACAGGCAGTTAGTATATTTATAAGGATTTTAAGAATAATTAAAAGATTGGGAATTTTTCAAATTGATAATTTTAAGTTTGATATGAATCGGTTATCAAGTGATACAAAAATTAAAATTTGAGTACATATCATACATAATTTTTTATTTAAGCAATTAAAAATCATAAAACATTGTTTCACAGAATTAAAGATAATAATTGCATTGTATTATTATAACAATTTATTATTAAATGGATAAAAGCGCTTTATGTTTAAATTTTTAATAAAATTCTTGTATTTTCCGAATAGCGTATTCAAAATATTTTAAATTTATTTTCAAGCATTTTTTTTATTTAAATTATATGTACATTTATTATAGCACGTCCTCATTTAAATAAGTAAATCCTTATTTAAAAGAAACAATTTATTGTCAATTGTAACTACCTACAAGAAAAAGTATCATGTTTTTTTTGTATTATTTTATTTAAATTTCTTTACAGAACTTATTTTTCATGTAATAACGCAATATCAAATGTAAAATGCGTGATGAAAATAGTGTGGTATGAAATTAGATGTTGAAAATCTTAACAACTATGCAATTAGATATATGTATGCATATTTATAAATCTAATTTGATGAAAATGGAGAATAGTGAATTTATGTTACGCATTTCTAATACGAAATTGTATATTAACAAATGGATTGACTATATAAACACACATATGTATGTATATATGAATATATAATCGTATACACTAAGTCTCCGAGATGCCACATTTTTGGTTTCAAAAATTTATGTCGTAACTTGAATTTTCGCTTGATTAGGAAAAAAATGTGTGGAAACAAGAATAAGACAAAGGGTATCTTCGGAATTGCATCTACGCAATGACGCATCAAACATATTGCATCATCTTCTGAAATATCAACAAATTTCAAACTTTTATAATTCAAACTCAAAATTTTCGGTTTTTGGTATAACCGAAAAATATTTGTTTATGTTTGATATAAAAAATATTTGTTTATGTTTGATATAGGTATACCTTGAAATTTGACGTTCATCAAGTACATATACATATATAAAGTTTTTAAAAGTTTTTTCAAGTTTTCCGTCTAAAAATGTTGCAAGCCTAATAAAAATGGTTCAATTTTACATCATATCACGTCGTAACTCGAAATACCATATCTCGATGGCTTAAGTATGTATGTTTATGATATACATATACGTTTATGAAAAGTATCGAGTTTTAAAATGATTGACTATTGAGATTGCAAAAAAATGCATTGATAGCATTGCCTTTGGGAATGTCTTTAAATATTTAAAATTATTAAATTTAAAAAAATTCCTAAATTAAAACTGGTTTTGTACTACCAATAAAGAGTTAATAGAAACTGATTATTGAAGATTTTGAATCAATAAAAATTGATTATTATTGTAGTAATTTATTATTATTAAACATAATGCATTAAATTCGAAATTCCAACATTCAATTTACATAATTATAAATTATGTTTCAATGCAATGTTGGATTGCGGTTGTTTACACATTTAAATAGTATTTAGTTAAGTAATATGTTTTTTCAGGATAAATGGTTTTAATAAAGAAGGTTTTCTGAAATTAAATAGAATTAAAAAGTTTGATTAAAAGTAAGTTTGTAGTATTTTCACTATTTTTTATTATCTAGAATGGAAACAAAATGTATACAAAGTGTATTTTCTATCTTTCTCTTAATTTTTTTTAAGAAATGAATTTCAACATTGTAGCTTTGGGAACAGATGAAATGAAAGTTTTGATTAAAATTTTATAAATTTTATTTATTAATAGTTAAAGTAGTCAGGTAATAAAATAACAATCTTAAACAATTTACAAAAAGTTCTATCAAATGAAGTTAAAACAAATAAATTTTGGTGTCTCTTTTTCAAGCTCTCAAAATATAATATATATCACAAATTAAAAAAAGAACAATTTTTTAAATTTTATAAATTTCCTCTTTGTATATTTACTTGAAAAATTTTGGTTTTTGCAATTTTTTTTACCTAACTACTAAATTTACTACATAGTTTTTAATTTTATAACTTAAAATTCTTAGTTTAATTATATAAATTAAAATTTTTGAGCACAAATGTATTTAATTATAAATAAACATTTATTTTTGTTCAAATCTCAAGTACTCAAATTATTTCTATTTACTTAACATTAACAATGATATTTTTTTAATTTCCTTTTTAAGCAATATTAAATAAAATTATTATATACCATTATTATTACCATAGTTGAATTTCTTATTTAAGCGTTTGATATAAAAACATTTTCTTACTTATTTTTAGAAAAGCGTAGCGCAATTTGATTTCATTTTGTTAAAATTGCATAAATTTTCCAATAAAAATAGAACAAGTTAGTAACACTTTTTACAAAAAGAAAGTAAAAAACATTTCCATAAAATGAAAGATTTTAAATTATTAATATATATATACAAGTAAAGACCCTTTGTGCAATATTAGAAAATTATAAAAAAATTATGGTTATGTTATTAGAAATTTGCATTAATAATTTTGTCATTTTTGAACAGAATTTCACCTAAACAATTTTATTATTATCAAATTTACATTTTTATCTTATTAGCGATTAAATATAGGATTTTTTTTATTTAATTTAGTGAAATATGTATTATATTAATATGTTCAGCCTGAACTTTAAAAAATATTCTTTTTTATCAGCTTATATCTTAATCTTACCAACTATTAAAATTTTATAAACTAAATATAATAACAATATTACTAGAACAGTGTTAAAAAAATATTGAAGATTAGTATAGCTAGATATATTACGAAATATTAAATAAATAGACGTGAAAACTGCTGTTAATAAATCAAGCAAAATTTAGATCTACTATTACTTTCATAAAAAACTTATGCATTTAATTCCAAACAATAAATTTAAAAATCTTTAGACAAATTAATTTAGACACATAATTTAAAATGGGAACCTTTGTATAACAAACGTTTTCTTGAATTTCAAAATACATATAAGAAAAAATACAATCTGCTTTTTATAAAAGAGGCTCCACAAAGGAAGCAGGAAATAAACCTGTTTTGTTTGTTTTTGAATGTGTGCCTTTGTACCAGCCATTTTTTTGTTTTCTGTGCACGAAAACTATATCACCTACGTTAAGTTCCAGCTCGAACTCGCTATTCGGTGGATATGAAACAATACATCGGAAACGTCTAAATTTTGGAAGAATAATTTGAGAAAAAAAAAAAACAATATAAATATAGTAATCCGTATTACCCTTCACGATTATTACTAGTTTTAATGCTGTTATTCACTGTCAATTGGTTCACTTTGCAAGTTGCATCTAAACTTTGAGTTTTACGATGAGTGATCATATTTATTGCAACAGAAGGATTTGAAGTAATCACCGCTTCAGCATTTCCAAACAAATTCTGGGCTGTTGCACAAACGCTTTTAAAGACAATATATAATTGCAAAAGATTTGTTATAATTGTAAAAGAAATAAGGAAAATGTGTCTTACCTTTGAAGAGAAGGTCGCTCCTTAGATCCTTTAAGTCTTTGTGAAGCAAAACAAGGTGATTCATTTTTTGAAGACGTTTTAGTTATATATTCTTTTGCTGTATCTCCTGGGAGAGTTTGCAACAACTGACTTGGACACGACCCAGACCTGAAACATAGTGTTTTAAAATTCAAAATCATTTTATAAAATGAATTAATAATTTTCTGAATCTGATTTCTGAGAAGTTTTTAAAATGAAGAAAAATTTTCTTTGAAAAGTACACTTCATACTTTATCAAATATTATTAAATATTCATTGTTAACAACTGGAAAAACACTAGATATTATAATTTAACTTTTAAGAATTTGACCATCAAACATTTAAAGAAAAATTTTAAAGACAATTTTCCAAAAGCTATAACTGGACTTATATCTAATTCAATATTAAGAAATATTCTACATTAATTTTTTTACCTAACGTGAATCGGGTGCGGTAGTAAGCTTATTTCTTTACTAAATAAATTTCCCTTGCAACCCACATCATCATTATGTGTACTTGGTTGTGTCGGAGACTTTGATCGTTTAATATTAGTTAAGCGTTTAACTAAGCTGCTGACGGATGATGAAGTAGTTGCTATTATTGGATTATTTTGAATTTTGTTAGGTGCGATATCCTTCACATCACAAGCACCAATATTTTTGATTTCTTTCGATTCAGTTGTAAGATTAGAATGCTTATCTAAAGAATCCACATGACCGATAGTATTTTCGGAAAAACTTGCATTAACTGCTCCTACTCCTAAAGCATTTGGAGTTCTTGGTGGTAATTCTGGTAAAGTATTATTTAGAAAATTTAATGAATTGGAACTGTTTAGTGGTTGAACGTTTTCGCTATGTTTCGCAAGCTTTTTCTGTTCCATTAGTTTTTGATGATCGTTACTCCTTAAAGCCGCTACATAATTTCCTGGGAAAACCCCTGATTTTTCCAACCAGTTTTTTCCCTTGAACCATCCATCTAAGCAACGTTCAGTAACTATGTAAATACCTAAAATATGTTAAATATTACCTTCTACTCTAAATAAAATAACGAAAAATTCCTTACACCCTTTTTTAAGTTCTAATTCATCAACCTTTTTCGGTTTATATGGATATAAAGCTATGTAATACCATGGCAAATTTGGGGGAACATTAGGTTGTTGCTTCAAAACATTATCTCTGTAGATTTGACCAAAATTTTGCTTTTCTACTTTTTGAGAACCATCTGTGGGGACAATTTGTTTGATATTTTTTGAAGGACCACATGCATTAACAACGTTCAAACCACTTTGTTGGAGTGATTTTTGGGTGGGCTCATGTGATGTGCTTAAAATTTCTGCTGAATATCGGTTCGATGCAACACTAAAGTTTTTACTTCCAGTTAAACCGTTGAGAGAATTTCTCTTTTCTTTATTAATATTTCGATGCCGAATATGAATATTAGAATTATCAGTCATTTTATTTTGAATTTGATTGATGGGGCTGTTGGAAACAGAATTTGAGCTTGAACTGCAAGATGAATTAGGACTTAAAAGTGCGGACGAAGACGAGGAGCTTGTTGTAGAATCACTCAGATTTGTATCTAAAGTTGGTAGTGGAGGTAAACTGCGTGCTACATGCTGAAAAATTCCGACTCTGCTGGTATTTGTATTTTTCGAGCTATCGCTTGTAAACATTTCTTCTTCTTTCTGTTGTAGTACATGCTTTGCGAGAGAATTCATTTCAGCAAATGCTATTGGAAATATTCCAATACTCGCACCGATACGTCCTTCAGCCCAGTTTTGATCAACACGTCGTAATACATTAATAACAGTGCCTTTTTTAAATGTTAAACATCCATCTTCTTCATTTGGGCCCATTTTAAAATCATACAACGCTATACATTGGGGTACAGGCAGTGGAACAATAATTTGAACATAGTTAATAGGAAACATTCCTTCTTTACCATTTGATATACCATAAAGCCAATTTGCATCAATTTTTCTTTTAATCAAAACGACATCTCCCTTATTAAATTTCAAATCTCCCACCTCTTTCGACTGAAAATCATATAAGGCAAGAGCTTTCGGTATACTCTGAACTCCAGATGAATGGTTTTCACGAATTTGTGGTAAGATCTGACGTTGACTAATTGAAACCGGATTAGATACATAATTTTTATGACATTCGATCAAATTTAGTGAAATTGATTGGCTAGATGCTTCGTAATTTACTTTATTATTGTGACTTTGAGGAATTTGACGTGCGTTTACAATTTTTTTTTCTACTTTGGAAGAGTTTGTTTCTGGTTGTTTACTAGGGGTTGACTGAATATTTGAATTAGCATTTTTTAAACCTTTAAAATTCAGAATTTTAGTGTTTAATTCTTTTTAATCTTGCAATTACCTTCTAAAATTCTCATCAACAAGACATTAGGCGGTAAATCGTCAATTTTTGAATCTACAAGAATTCTACATTCTGGACATCGTAGTTCCTTTTGGCTTGCGACTATTACCTGGAATATAATAACTGTTAGACTCATGTTTTTTTTTTTTTTTGTCTTACTTCAAGACATTTTTTGCAGAACGTGTGCTGGCATGGTAAAACTTTTGAATCATCCAAACGATCTAAGCACACACTACATTCAAGCAAATCGTTTAAAGTTGATTCATCCATTGTACGTTTTTTTCACTTATTTCTTTTAAGTATTAAATAAACGATGTTGGAGTTATATATTTTTTAATATCGATATCAATTTTCTTGTTTTTAATACATTCATATTGAACATGTTTATTATATTTTTAAATTCTTAACAAATTCTTTAAGAAAACGCCATCATGAAATTTCCCATATCTACTGCCAATAATGAACAAAAAGAAACTGAAGGACAAATATGTTGTGACCAACTGTCATTTATAGAAAAAGGAAAAGTGTAACTGGTCACTTAATCGGTTTATTTGCATTTATGTAGAAATAAAATTTCTATCAAGGTTCTCTGTCACTGCTTCAACTTATTTATATGCATACATACATTAAATATAAATTAAAAATTATTCATTAATGAAAATTTTGCGGCAGAAAAGTTGTAAAAGAGTGAAATAAATAAAATTGGAATTTAAATAAAGAATAAATTATTATATTTTGAAAACGTTCATTTTATCATTTTATCAAAATTCGAATAAAATTTTTTAATTTTAACCAAAAAAATGGTTGTATGTATGTACATACATATGTACAAATTTAGTCACCATCCACTTAACAAATTTTTGATTAAATTTTAATTTCAGTTCTTTTCTAATTTTTCAATGTCACAAATCATCTTATAAACATTGTTATAAATTTAACAAATACATTAACACATATCTTTTGATTTTTGTTTTTCATAATAATTTTTAAGATGTTTTGCTATTAAGGAAAAAATCAGATGATGTAGAGTGTAAACGAAATAGAGGGAGAAGTAAAATGGCCATTACAATAAAATAACGAGCACGAAAGAATTAATAATAAATACTACAAAACTGTTAAAATGCTGCTAATATTAAATCGCCAAATTGCTTTATCTTCAAAAAAAAGTTATTTGACAAGGACGTACCAGAAATATTTTGGTGTAAACTAAGCGTAACATGCATTAGCTGTACATTTTTTTTATAGTTTGTCCGTTTTCGTTGGTGAATCGTCTTTACCGCATAGTGATTTCTTAAAGAATTTACTATAAATAACAAAACTCACATTGTTAAAAAAAGCAAATTAATATTAATTATGAGTTTACTCGTACAAAAAAAGTTGACTTAGTATAATAATTCTACTTTAAGCCGCTGGATACTTTTTGGATATATTTTTTTCTCGAAATTGGATACATTTTATTTTTAACGAGTGGGAACACTGCTACGGATCAATAAATTCCCTAGTCCACCTCATGACAAAAGTCAACTTCGAATGATCCATATATATATCGAAAACTGCGCTATATTCGTGTTCTTAAACAAATTTTACTAATCAAGTTGTTCATCAACATTGCTAGCTTATCACAAAAATATTTACCTTATTATGGCAATCGCAGTTAAATCAGCTGTACCAAAAATAAGTAAAAGATTCTGAATTGAAACATATTTTGGTTAGATGTCATTTACCGAAATCAAATTTTTCAGAAACTGGAAATTAAAAAAGAAATTTTTTCTTTTGGGCACAAGATAATCATAAATATCAAACATAAAAAAAACTGAAATTTAATATTTTGAGGATTTTAAAAATCATGTTGATGAATTTGATGCTAATGATGTTGATCATTTTGTCTTTCATTTATTTCCATTTAATTTTTTTAGAACTCTTCAAACTTTTGAAAATAAGTGCTTATAATTTTCCTCTGTCCATGTACACGATTGCAAAACTTCTACACCCTTGAAGAAAGAAAGTTGAATTTTCATAAAATATAAATTGATATCTCTTATAATTGAATATTAACAAGAAATGGCGGCTAAATTTAACCGTTATCTAAAGCCCGTTCCTCTTTAAGTTTTTGATATCGGTTTTCTTTTATAAAATAGATTGTAGAAGTCTGAAACTTTTCTAGCTTTTAGAAACTAACAAAAAAATATTTCCCAACCCCAGACCCTCGAAAGGTTTCGCCTCTCCAAATTTCTAAAAGTCGCATTTTTGACAGCATATATTTCCGAAAGTGCAAGCTTCTATGAAATTTCTATGAATGAAAGCTAACAGTAAATGACGCGATCAACCCTTGAATTCGACTTTATTTAATTATTTTACTAGACATTTAAAGTTTGAACCAACTTTATAAATTTTGTGAGGTACTTTCAGCAAGTAATTTTTTCGATTTATAAATTATTTATTTTGTTCATAAAAACAAATTTCTATATTGAGTGTCTACACATACTATAACAAAATGTGTAAATTTTACCGCAATCAGTACTTTTAATAATAAAAAAAAAACATAGTGTTCTTTCGAAAAAGATTTAAAATTTAAATCAAGAAAAAGATCAAGATTTTAAAAATTTTTAAATTTTTGGAAAATTTTTATATATATTTATTATTAGTATGTGGTGATGTGTATTTCCACTGACGTCTTTATATAGGAGTCTATATTTCTAACAAAAATATTTGTATTTGTATTTTTCATAAATATACGCATACATAAAAACTCTCTTTTTTTAATTTTTTTAAGGAAAATTTTTATTTTTCCTTCTAAAAAACTGAGAAGTACAATTTAAAAAAGCCGAAAAGTAGGAAAATAAAATGTTCATATTTTTTTGTATGAATTTTTAAATCTATATAAGAGTTTCTGGCTGTACTTTCTTTTATTAGTTTTTGCAATTTGGTTTTACATTTTTAATTGTTAATTATTGTACTTAATATTAGCAAAATTTCTTTTTGTTTCATCTTTTTTTTGTTTTTCTTAATTTTTATTTTCCCGAAATAGAATTTTTCACTATTTGGCCCAAATTAAAAAAAATTTTTTTTGTTAACGGCATTTTTGGTTCATGAACCCAATACTGCAAATTCAAAATAGCATGAGCATGATTTTTAATTATGAGTTCATGAGCAAAATTTAGTTTTTATTCAACTATCAAAAATATGTTGCGCATGTATCACATTATTGTTTTGCAGTATTGTGTTTATGAAAATGCCAATCATGTTCATATAAGACCTATATTCAACCGGCGATCAAGCATTATTCCAACATCACAAAAAGTCCTTACCCTCTTTTATACCACCTATATCATTTCAAAGACTCTGTTCTAGTAAGTTAACTTTTTTGCGGGTAGGAAGAAAAAGATAGGTGTATCTAACCTTTTCCCCCATTAGAAAGAGTTACCCAGCATTTACACGTAAAAGGTTCTTGCAAGAAAGTTGCAATATATACAAAAATTTTACTAACACATTGAAATATTTCTACTTGCTTGTTTACTTGCAGTTCAACTTGCAAGAAAATTTTGCTGCCAGTAATTTGAGCAAGTAATTTGACATATTGAGAAATTCACAAAAAAAAATTTGTTGTTTTGATTTTTTTTTTTTTTAATTTAAAATTTTTGAATTTTGTTTTGAAAAAATTAAACTTAGCAAACTTATGGTTTCTAAAATTTATAAACAATTATATATATTGCTAGTTGTTTTCTTCTCAAAGACATTTTCAAAAATTAACTTGCTAAACGCCTACGTCATAATAGCAAGTAATTTGACATTTCGAAAAACTAATTGACAATTAATATTATACAAACTTGCTTGCAAGTAACTTGTATGTGTAAATGCTGGGTTAGTTTCATATTAAGAACAATTTTTTCAAATTTACTTAAAAGGTTTTTATTCCAGATAAGGAAAAAATCTATTACATTTTCAATTGTCAAAATGCTAAATAATTAAAAATTTTGTCAGCTGTCATTCCTTTCATGTTTTATTTAATCTTTATTGTTGTTTTTGTAATTTATTGTAGTATCAAGCAGATTTTGTGGTTTATATTTACCTAAATTTTTAAAATACGAGGAAATAAACTATTTATAATTTTACATGTGAGTTACATATATCTTTTTTTTGATTTGATTCAAGAAGAATATTTCACATTGATGTAGTATTTTCTGAATGGTAAGCAAATCAAATATAATTAGTAGTTCCTCCATTTTGTATGCAAGTATGGATATTCGTACATATAGCTTGAAAGTACTAAAAAACAATTTACTCTAAACATATTTTCTGCTGTAACACTCTTAGTATCAGTTGTAGGTAATGTTTTTTTAAAAATTTGATAGTGAACTTTGAATATTATTTTTTAAATAAATAAATTTTAATTTATACACGAATAATAGTTTAATAATGGTGAAGGAAAAATAAGAGTGAAATACTTGTTTAATTTTATTCTGAGGATGAAAGAGAAATAAACTTAAACAGCTGACTGAGACATATGTAAAGGGCAAATTTTTCTGTCGGCACAATGCATTATATTCATAATCCATAAAAAAAAATACAAAATTATAACGATTATTTCAAATTCCATTCATATCAGTGCTACCATTTTGATAAATGTTCTTCGGCATTTACATAAGAGAAAATGAGATACACACATATCGTTTGAATCATATAGAAAAAAAAGAATAAAAGAGAAGCAAAATAAAATGGCTATTTCTTTGAAAGTCGGAACTGTAGTGTGATTTTATTTTTTTTATTTGCAAATGAAAAGTATATTTTATTTTATTTATAAAATTTAAATTCATCATATAAAGTTGTGTATTCAAAATAGTAACTTAATGCGATTGTTAAAGTTGAAACGGGTAGATATTCGCATAAAAAACGCATGAATTGTTTGGAGGTACTGAAAATTTCCAATAATAATTAAAAAAGAAAAATTTAGAAATCAATATGTTATTTGTTCAATGTTGAAAGAATTGTATAAAAAAATATAAAAAGTTTAAAGCGGCTTAAACAATAATTTGTAAAGATATATAAGTCTTAATGTATACATGCATAGGGATTTACTCTTCAATATTTTTTTTTTAATAAAGGAGAATCGGAAGGAACATTGATTTTTTGAGTTTGTATTATATAGGTATCTACATTTATGTATGTATTTCATTAATGTTATAATTATTCGGTTGGAATACTTTTTCTCTTAGTAAAAATTTTATTCATTGACAACTCAACGGAACTTTTCCATTTCTTAATTGTAAAAACTTAATTAAAATTTTTATATACCAACGTATCTCTTTTTATGCACATTTTTGAAATGGTGTCCACTAATGTAAATTTTATTCAAAAATAGATAATACAACTACCATCATTAAAGGTGAGTACATAATCTTGTTTAAATAGTTGATTGAATAAATGCTAGTATTCTTATTAGGTGATTAGTTATTTTTTCTATGCGATTACACACAGTATTTTACATTTCACTATTCAACTTTTATTAAATTTTCTTTAGTCAAGACTGAAGAACCTTAATATAATAATTCCAATTATACTTCTAACTTCAATTTTATCACGAGTATTAAAGAATATTAAAAAAATAAATGTTTCATAATAACAATCTACCTAATACATACTTATATATTTCCTACTGAGTTTAATCGAATATTACGCTTCAAATAATTGTAAAACTTATTTTTTTGTGTTTTTAAAAGCAAAATACATTTTTTTATATTGCTAAAATAGTCAATCAAAAAGTATTTACGTTTAACCTTTTTCAATATTTTTAAAAATTACTTGCATTGATTTCAATTTAGCTGTCATGTCTAGGGCTGAAAGGGATAGCAAAATACCTATTATATTTACATTCCTTTCTTTTTTAGAGATAATTTTAAAGTTCCCAATTTTATTACATTATTTTCAGAAACAATCAAATGTAAAGGCAACCGTGACTTTCAAGTAAGTAAAAATAATTTCAAATAGTCTTTTTTATAAAGAAAGTTTGAATCACAAAAAAAATAGGAATGGGTAAACGTTTGGCATCTGATAATCATCAAATTCCACCAAAAAAGAAAAGATTAAATGGATATAAAAAGCAGAAACGCAAAAACAGTGGTTCTTCAAACGAACAACCCAGCTCTGATGAAGATTCTATTGGTGATACAACCGAAAATATTTCAATAACGAAAAAAATTGATGTGCATATGAAACAAAATGATTCTTCACCGAGACCTATTTACCAATTATCTGGAGATATTGTCAACGGAACAATTCTAACGGACATCAAACAAAAACAGTGGAGAATTGGGAAGCCTGTTGGTAGGCATAAAAAAAAAATATGTTTTTTTTTTTATTTTAACAGAATTTTTGTTTTCGTAGGTAAAGGAAGCTTTGGAGAGATTTTTCTTGCTTCAGACAACGTGAAAACACCAGTGACTAAAGATAATGCAAAATATGTTGTTAAAATTGAACCACATTCAAATGGTCCATTATTCGTTGAAATTCACTGCCTAATTAATGTTAATAAAAAGGATGGTATGTAATTTAATGTAATTCCTTATTTAATATTGCTAGCCTGTTTTTATTTCAGACGAGAAAGAACCTATGCCTCCTGGAGTTCCTTCATATATTGCTTCTGGATCACATTATTTTCGTAATGAACGTTACAGATTTTTGGTATTGCCCAGATTTGATCGTGAATTGCACTCAATTATAAAACATTGTCGAGTTAGTCAAAAATCTTTAATCGTTTTGGCTGTTCAAATTCTGGATATACTACAAATACTACATGATAAAGGATATTGCCATTCGGACATTAAAGCAGAAAATTTAATGATTAGTAAATGCACTTATAGAAAATCATTAGTTATGCGGTATAGGTCAAAGGATATAGAGTCAGATCATGAAAGTTCGGAAGTCGAAGACGAAAGCAATGACGAAAATAAAAGTAGTGACGGAGAGAGTGACTCTGCAAAAACAGATACTGACAGTGGTGAACAAGAAAGTGATTCTGATGGAGAGGATAATTATGAAGATGACGAAGATGGAGAGGAAACAGAAGATGAATCAGAAGACGAAGCTAATGGAGAACAGAGTGACTCAGACTACAATTACAAAACGCCAGTGAACAAAAAGACAAGATTAAAAAAAAATTATGTTCAATTTAGTGGTTCAAATCCTGTGAGTTTTTTTTAAGCTTTAATACAACAAATTTTAAAATTACCATAAAATAGCAAACGTCATAAGTTACCATTTTCCCAAAAATCGTTACATTTTCAATAGGAATAATTTGCATTTATTTATATTACTTACATTAACAACGCAAATCTGTATTGTTTGATATCATCTCTTATCTTCAAACATCTGTACAACTAATTCTTTGAAGATTCATTAAAATTAAAAAAGAATTTTAAAACTTTATTATTAAGATTATTGTTATTTTATTTTTAATAAAAATAAAAGTTAAAAGTTTCAATTTTAGAGATTAATAAAAATTTCATAATTTTAGGTGCGTTCTTGCCGTTCTAAAAATAGTTCTGCAAATACAACCTACCAAGAAATGGTTTCTTCACACTATTTGCGACCATCTAGAAAAGTTAATTATTCATCATTTTTCAACGATGATAATTCCAAAAGTCCAAAAAACTCAGATTGCAACGACGAAAATGATGAAATTTGGACAAATGCTAATTATTTATCCAAAAATTGTAGACTGAAATATCGTAATAGCAACAACAGTTTAACAAAATCAAATCGCAAATTAAATACTGGCAATAACCATCACAATATTTCTAGAACAAATGTATTATCTTCAGGAAGTGGAAGTGAGTGCATCACTGAAGAACGCTTATTTTTGATTGACTATGGACTAGCTTCAAAGTTTGTGGACGTATCTGGAGTACACCGTCCATTCTGTATGGATCAACGCCGAGCACACGATGGTACATTAGAATTCACATCACGAGATGCTCATATGGGGGCTCATTCGCGCCGAAGTGATCTTGAGTGTTTAGGATACAATTTAATATTTTGGTCACAAGGATTTTTACCATGGCGAGAAAAAGCTGCCTTGCAACAGCCAGAAAAAGTTCATGGCATGAAAGAATATTTAATGGCCGATGTGCGCCAAATGTTGAAACATATATATGGAAAACAAGTTCCTAAATATCTGGGAGAATATATGTATTATGTCGGTAAATTAGCATATGATGAACGACCCGATTATGAAAAATTAAAAATGATATTTCTGAAGGAATACAAAAAGCTAGGATTCAGAGTGGAGCATATAAAACTAGATTTAGAAGATTTATTGGAAAATTCAATTAACGTGAAAAAAGAAATGCAAGACAAAAATATATTAGAAATGAAAAATATTAAAAGTATTATGAAAAATTTAGGTGTTATTATGCCATTCCAAGAGTCAAACGTTAGTAGGGTGTCGCCCAAAAATTTGCGTTCTAAAGAAAAAAACTCTTGCAAGAAGAAAAAGAAATTTTCATGGGCTGAAATACTAAGTCAGGACCCAGATCAAATTGCTCGAGAACGTGCTGAAAAAGAATTCGAAAGAGATTCGGCAGAGACACCAGTGATACGTTTTAAAGGTAACTATTTAGGAATTTTATGTTTCTGTTATTGTCTTTCCGGTTTTTTTATTATTTGTATTAAATTATATTAAAGTTACACGTTTTATATAATTAAAATTTTAGGAAAGCCGACATATGCAATATTGGAGATACAAAATCGAATAAGAAAATTTAAGGACCGTTTAGATTCTGTTCCTGAAGAAGGTGACGAAAGTGAAAACTTGCGTATAAAGGGATATAATAAACAAATGATTGATGTTTTAAGAAAACGTCAACAGTCATTGTTTGCAGATGTTACAAATAGCAATGGTAAGAAAACGAATAAAGGAACGGCAAACAACATTCAAAATAATGATACATTCACAACACCGTTAAAAGAGCCTAATAGGCGTTCAAAAGATATCAAACGTTTAAAAGAAGTTATTTCAAATAGTGGACCGGAAATTGTTCGCACTAGAAATAAAGAAGGGTTAAGAACTACAATTACACCAACTAAACGTAGCTTAGATTACACATATACTAATCAAGCTAGGAAGCGTGCAGGAAAAAAACTAAACTTGGAGGATGTGAACTGCATTAGTGCTAATAATTATAAAATTGCCAATGGTGTGGTCGGAAATTCGAAAAACAATTTTGCTGATAATTCCTATATTAAGAATCGCTCATTAGGATCAAGTATTAAATCTTTACGTTCAACGACAATTACAGCAGCTACTCCAACACCGTCAACAACAAAAACTGCTGCAAATAATTTTAAAAGTATTCAAAATAATAATCCTTGCTATGAAATAAGCGGGACTGATGATTCCTCTTGTAGTAGTATTCACTCAATTTCAAGTTTAAATGAAAACAGTCGCAGTAGTGCTAGCAACAGTAGGAAATCAACTAGATCAAAGTCTTCTTCAGCTTCATCGAATTCCACAACAGCGTCGACATCATCTTCAATGGCAGCGGCAGCAGTTACAGTTGCTCAATCATCATCAACGACACAGAAAATTTTATCACGTTATCAACAGACATTAAAAAGAGTGGGCGAAAATGAAAATAGTAATTCAAGTACCAATAGTAACAATAGTTGTAATACTATCAACAGCAACAATTCATTTCCACCAGCAAGTCTTAGTGATGAAGATACCCGTGATGTAATGGTTAGTTTTCCACCTAGATCAACACTAAAAAGCAAAAGCAGTAACGCAAACAATAATAACAGTAATAATAAACCCCCAATCAATCGAGTACGAATACGGATTAATGGTACTGCATCAATTGTAAAAGAGCTGAGTCCTATAAATTCCCAACAGAAGCATCCTGTTATAATAAATGGTGAAAATAATGCTTCAAATGGAAACATTACTAGCAGTAGTCGACGTAAAAAAAGTATTCCACAAAAACGTAATGTGAAAAGTGAGTATTTGCGATGCGTTTAGGATTGATATAAAAATAAACCTCTAAAAATTGGTAATAATTTTTTCTGTAAACGTCAAAATGTAAGTCAAAAACAATATATTTATGCAGAGGCAGAATTTATAAAATAAATTATTCTTTTTTAATATAAAGAAAACAACAAAAGCATATTGTCTTTGCTTACTTCATTGAATTCCTAAAAAATTCCTTGTTTGAGTTGTATGTATTTTTTCTAAATAAGAACTGTAGCAAAAATATTAACACAATACCGAATATATGTTATATTTGTATTTAATAATTTAAATTTATGAAAACATTAATAATTGTGTAGCAGATTACACAACTATAGGTAAATTATATTTTTGATTAAAATACATTATGTACATAATTTATATATTTGTTTTGATTTTATAAATTAATTTTTATTAAAAAAATTACTTAAATTATTTTGTGGAAAAATCTGCAATCAAAATATTTTGCTAAAATCGTCTAACTTATTAAAAATTTTAATATTTTATTGCAATGAAGACTGATGTAATAATGATTTATGTTTTGCTTAAAACATTATAAATCTTTTTCATAAAAGTTAATGTTGATTGCAACCTAAGAAATATTCCAAGCAAATTTGATATTCTTTGATACACATATGCATATGCGTAAAATATGAGAAAGTGAATTAAAAGAAAAAAATATAAAATAATTAACTTCGTAATTCTCCAATTAACAATTAGCTGATTTACAATTTTTGTTGAATTTTATTTAACTTTATTTACTTATTTGTATTGATGTGCATATATTTAAACATTTTTATAAAAACTATATAAATACACGTGTATGTAAATACGTATTATACAGTATACTATTACATAATACTACATTTATAAATATACTTACATGTACGCCCATATGTATATTTACAATAAAATGTAATATAAATAAATTTTTTTTAGTTATAATGTACCTAAATTTGAAATATTTTAAATAAACTTCTAAATTTTCTTCCTTTTATCCTAGTGTTTTTTTTAAAGAATCGTTTGCTTCATTCTACGTTTATTGCCTTCCTAAGGTCTATGAAAAGATAGTTGAATATTTTTGAAAAAGAGCAATTGCAATTTTAATGTTCTAATGAAAACTTAAAAATCATTTTCAAATTTTAATTAATTTATTTTTATTTTATTAAGAAAAAAAAACGCATATGTATAAGTTATCAGTAATAAATTTTTATCAAAAATTGAATTTGGACTGTTTAAAACTAAAACGCGAAAAGATATAGAAATGAAAAAATAACTAAAGAAACTTAATTTAAGTTCGTCTAAGCAGTATTACATTTAATTTTATATTTAAAAAAAAATCAGTTACAAAAATATCAAAATTATTAAATTTCCAATTTTATAAGTAGATATTAATAATTTCGTTTTGTGTTAACTTAGGGAAATAAATATACATACATAACATAAAATTAAACTCGGGTTCGATATGAAGAGTAATTCAAAAAATTTTATAAAAAATATGTGAAATTAATTTACATATTATATTTGAAACGTTCTTTTTTTAATTTCTGATACAACAATTTGCTTTTTTTTTTAATTATTGTACGTAAGACAAGTATATTATAATAGAAATTAAATTTTACTCCAAAATAAATTCTTATTAAAATTAGTAAAAATAAAAAAAAATAAAAGTGTACCCCAAAAAAAAAAATTAATAAAATCAATGTGCTAATTGTAAAACTTAAAAAAAAAATAAACATAAAATAAACATTATAAGGAGTATGATTGCGTATTATAAACAGTTATATAATTGTGGTCCGATATATTTTCAGCAATTAAGTGGTAGTTATTAAGTTTTTTTCCTAAAATGCAGCATAAAAGTTAATGTTCTTAATGATGCGATAATGTTGTTAAAAATTAACATTTGCACAGAACTTTGAATTGAAATTTACAAACAAGTACGGTAGTACAATGTATTGTACCGTACCGTACTGAAACTTTTTATAAAGCAATATGGAAGTCATGGGTATTTTGGTTTTCAGTATAAAATTTCAACTTTTAGAAATAAAAACTGTTATTTAACTCAAAATTTTTAAATAATGATTTGCCGCTTTTGTACTGCAAAAAGTCAGCGTTTTTAATTGTAGAGATGTAAAAGAGCTTCACTAATATTTGTTCATTAAATTTTGTGCTGCCATTAATAAGAAAAAATTTTTATCTTAAATTTTAAGTATAAGACAGCTTAAAATTTCTCAACAATTTTAATTTGTTAATAAATAAAAACCTTTTAAACATAAATGCAAGTCAGGCAAGTTATTTCAGCAGAACGTTTTTATTTTTGGGACTGCTTTTTCCAGATTTTAGATTTTCTGTTACAGAATTGCGCTTTTTGTAGTCAAACTGAACAATCTGCAAACTTGAACATACTGACGAATCTGCAGAAAGTTAGTATGTATTTTACTTTTTGATTTGTAATATACTCGTGCAATTCTTCAATATTTTTCTATTATACTCTTGTGATTTATAATCATCTGTCGTATCGCATGCAAATGTCGCATGAAATTATGCTATCATGTTTATTGTTATTCTAGTAGTCGTAGACTTGAAAATTAAAAGTGGTACCAATCTTAAAGTGATAGCAGATATCAAAATCGCGTATGCTCTTTTCGTAATACTTTTCATACGGAAAGAGCACGCGAATCCTTTAGAACTTTAAACACAATTGTCACTTTCGAACATTTTAGTTTGGATTTTTCGGCCTATCATTCAGATTTTTCGTCTCTGAAAATATTATTGCGAAAGTCTAAGTTTTTCAAAAAATAAAACTAAACAATGTAAGTGTTACATTTTTGCTTTATTTTGCTTTATTAAATTAACAAAACCTTGAATTTCAAATATACTGCAATTAACCAAATTTTTGTAATTAATAACTATAATTATATGTCAAAATAAAATACAAAACTATTCGAGTTTAAAGAAATAGCAAAATATCACTGTGCCAAATTTGCTTTGCTTCTCTTTTCTCGACTTTGCTCCTTTCCAGTTTTATCCTTATGGAGCAGAACTTTTGATCAATACAAAATTCGGTTATAATAAGTAAAATGGTTTGCTGAGCAAGAGCAATATTTAAATCTTTACTTGTATAAAAAGTCTTTTGCTATCCATATTTGTTTAAAAAATTAACAGTAAGCGCCTCCTTAATTTATACATACATTTATTTATGTATAACTATTTTAAAATAATTCAAATGTTTTCTTTGAAAAAACATTAAGAAATGTCAAAAACATAAATTTTAGAAAATGCTGCCAGTTTAAATTTTTTGCGATACGATTTTGTTGCATAGTACCAGTGTTCCCACTTGGTAAAAACAAAATGTATCCGATTTCAAGAAAAAAATTTATCCAAATCGATCTTATTTTTTATAAATAAACTCATAATTAATATTAATTTGCTTTATTCAACAGGTTGAGTTTTATTATTTATAATAACTTCTTTAAGGAATCACTTACAACTTCTTGTGCCTATATGTGCCGTAGCTGTAACAAACTATGCGGTACTAGTGATTCTTTAAAAAATGAACAGAGCCCGGAAGGTTTATAATCAATTTTTTAATGTTTTAATAGCACAGAACTTTAACTGTTTGAATATAACCACTTGTAAAGTAGCTAAAGATTGAATTTTAGCTATTTCTAATTAAAAATTTGAACAAAGTTGATCTTGCGACAGATTTATGATGTTGACCTCTGTAGATACCATAAGAATATGTATAAATCACAGCTGATGAACTGTCTCTTTCTTTTAGGTTCAGGCCTGTATTTCTGTCAGTCGTGCTATAAACGCAACTATTGTTATCATAAAAAATCAAAAATGTCAATATATGATGTTAGGGATTTGGGATGTCATTCTAATTTTATTTATCAACTTGTGAAGAGGTAGGGAAAAGAAATTGAGCTTACGATTTTTCGCTTAAGTGTAAATATTTTCTTTAACAAATTGATAAAATAAATCTGCAAAATGATTAGAATCCCTTTTGGTAAAAAGCATGTTCAAATCTTAACTTCATTGTAAGTATACATAACTTTTTTTTATTAAAGTCAAATGTTTTGGGTTATGTAATATATAATTGTCTTATTACTTGTTTTATATTTTTGAAAAACTAATATTAATTTTCAAGTGTACCATCAGCTGCAACCTTTGGAGGTGCGGGATTTTTAACATTATTATATTTTACTGATTGGAGAGCTGTATTGGATCACGTTCCATATTACAGTGGCAAATTTGTCAAAAATGATTAAAAAGAACATGAATTGTAATATTAGTTAAATAAATAAATCTTATAACTCAGTTAATTTGTTTATTATAACTAAGGAGAAATTAAGTTCTTTAGTCTGCAGTTGAGTTAGATAATAAAACCAATGATATAGGATCTTAATTAGTTAAATTTATTTTTTTGCAAAATTTGAATTCATAGAAAAAGAAGACCTTTGTATATTGTTTATTTTTGACTTAATTCTTGATTCCACAGAATTGTTCGAAGAAAGTGCTTTTTTAAATTGGTTTTTCGCGAACTGCTCATCGTATTGGCGATTCTTTTGAGCTAATTCTTCTTCCTCACAGTCTTTGCGATACTTCCTAACCTTACTGGCTCTTTCTTCATCGCGTTTTGCCGCATCTGCCATCATTTCTTCTAACCGTTTCTGCTTTTCTTCTGCACTTCGCTTAAATTCCTTTTTGTCGTTAATTTTATACTTTGGACTACGATCAACATAAGTAGTGTTTTTACTTCTATGAGTTTCAATCCTTTTTGTTCCATAATTTTTGCCAATAAATTTTTTATCTGCATTTCTTCCTAATTTAAAAAGCATTCTTTCGGAACTATTTGATCTACTTCTAGAAAAGTTTTTAATTTTTCTGTAAAATTGCTTCGTATTAGGTGAACCGGACGGGTTATTTCTAATTTTTTTAGTGTTGAGTGGATCATTATGCAAATTATTCCTTTTATAGTCTCTTTCCTTGCATTTGAAATTTTTGTCAGAAGAGCTGACTGAAGTGTTCGAATATCTTCTAACCCTATCCTTTTTCAAATGTGTCAATGATTTATCAACACTTATAACATCATCAATGTTCCGTTTTGATTTAGTTTTCTCTTTTTTATTCAATTTTTTTATTAAATCATCCAATTGCGTATCTTTTTTAATAGCTTGATCTAATGAATTTTTGATTTTTTTATATTTTTTTTCCAAAAGTTTATCTAAATCCTTTTCATTATCCGAATTCAAATCACTTTCACTTGACGATGAAGAGCTGGAGGACAAATATTTTTGTTTTTTTTTAGATTTCTTTTTCTTCTTACTTTTTCGATTTTTTGTTCTCGAAAGCAGCACTTGCCTTTCCGTTTTTAATATTTTGTGAATTTCTTTTAATTTAACGGGGTTTTCTAATATTTTACGCCTTGTTTCCATTTCCTTTTGTTTAATTGCCATAAGAGGATCTTCCATTAACTTCCTTTGTATATCGACTTGCTCATTATTTTGAAGATTTTTATATTCACGGATTGAAAATGGAATACATTCATATTCAACATGATTTTTTGGCACTTGAATACCAAATACTTTCTCTTTTTGCTCAGCTTTTTCTTCACTATCCAATTGTTCAAAGTTTCTATCAATTGGTCGACCTACAAATTTGAAAGTTACTTCATATCCCCTTTTTATGGTTTACTTACCAAGCAAATATTCTTCGCGATTAAGCAAATCGGAATTCCCTTTATACATCCATTCTAATTTTTGGGTATCGTCCTTTTTTGATGTCATTTTAGTACTTTTACTTAATATTTTCACACAAAGAATTAATTTGGGTAAATAAACAAATATTAGAAATTAGAACCGATTCAATTGCTATTGTGAGTGGTCAAGAGCAATTGACAGTACTATCGATATCATCGATACTTTTCAAATATTCAGACTTGATGTTTTAAAAGTCAATATAACGGAATTGTTATATTACTTATGTATTGATTAAAGTTTTGTAGAAGCATAATTAAATTTTTTAAAATGGAAAAATTAAAAGGCAAGAACGTGACAAATATTCAATCAGTTTTATGAATACTGAAACAATATTTTTGCGCACATATTTTAATAAAATATTATATTCGTTTCCCCCGGCTATTTGAATATTATATTATGGAAAGCTTTATTAAGATTATTCTAATCTTTATAGGTTTAACCAACAAATTAGAAATACTAAAGAAAGGAGCATTTTTGTTTCTATTTCGCTTGCACTCCCTAAAAAATTGTAACTTGAAAAAAAAAAACACATTGAAGCCAAAAAATTTATGTAAGTTTTTTCTTTGTTCTTAGCATTGTCAAATTGAAATTGAAATTGAATGCCAAATGTTTTTTTTCTACCAAAAGGCGACTTTGGTATAAATAGTAATCAATGAAATTTTTGTGATTTTATTCGAAGCATATCTATTTAAGAAGCAGTTCGACTTTCCGTTTACATGTCATCAAAGATTGACCATCATGATTGAAATTGATGAATATTGACTATGCAAGCATCGTCAATCAATCATTCCCTTCAAACTTTTGATTGACGAAAAAATAGAAATTGATTCTATTTTCGTTAATCATTTTTGACAGAAATAAAAAAAATATGGCATAAACATAAGTTTTTGAATAAAATGGTTGTGGTCAACTGTTCTAATGTTTTTTTTGGTTGCGATTTGTCATTTGATAGTGGAGTGGCACTTTTTAAATTTATAGTGCATATAAAAAAAATAATTGATTGACGATGTTTACATCAACGAATTAGAAATACTAAAGGAAGGAGCATCTTGAAAAATTAATGAAGTCAATTTTTTTCTAGTTGTCTCTTTTTTTGTTTTTTATTTTATTTCCTTGTCTGGCATCTACTAAAAATATGTAAGAAGGAGTAGTTGAAAAATTTTTTTAAAGTAAAAACTAAAACATTATTTCAAAGTATTTTTTCGTTTTAGATATCTCTAAAAAAATCAAATTTAAACAAAACTCATTATTTTTTTTTCTCTTTGAATTAATTTATTTTATAAATTGCAAATAATTATAAATATTTAAATATCAGAATATTTTATGACCCTCGAAAATGAACATATTTTTTTAAAAAGTTTGGGATATTACCATTTTTTTTTGAAAATTTTACCGAACAACTCTAAACAATAAAAGTAACAATAAATATAAATATATACACATTTTAATGACTCTAAACCTGTCTATTTTTTATTAAATCTTTATTAATACTATTATTTTATTAAATTTTAATTAAGTACATGGTATGTTGTCGTATTCTGCCTTATTCAAGCAAATTTTTTTTTAAATAATTCACGCTAGTATTTTATTTTACTTACTGAAATCAACGACATCGCCGTCATCATACATTTTTTTAGTGACCAAATCTTCACTCTATAATGGGAAATAGTATAACAAATATAAATTTTTTTTTTCATCAATTCTAGGTAAAATGTGCTTATACAATAAGATCAAATTGAAATATTTGTTTGTATGCTACATTTTATCAATCACAAACTCATTTTGCTTAAAAAAATCCGGTCCTGGTAAAATTATCTCATCTGAAGTATTTATAATTTAAAACAAAAAAAAACTGTTGAAATGTTTTCTTTGCAAAATTAAAAATTTAATTAAATTACAAATTATGAATTAATCAAAGCACTATTGAATAAATATTTCTTATATTATTGAAATGAATAATATTTACATGTGCATATATGGTATAGTAAAACTAATTTAGACCTATACAAGTTTTTAATTTTCTACAGATATTTTTCTTTTTTTCATTTGACACATTTTTTTATAAGTTTTTATAAAATAATATTCTTTTTTTAATGCTAAAATATTTTATAATATTTTATGATTTCTTGTTCACAAACTGCATTAATTTTATAAATAAAATAACAAAATTTCCTTTGTTTACTTTCTATACAAGCGCGACGTACTTTTCTAAGAAAAAAAAACAACAACATTTGGATTTAATTTTAATTTCAGTTTGACAATGTTTAGATCAAAGAAAGGGACTTATCTGAAGGTTTTGTCCAAACTCTGTTTTTCTTCAAAATTCATTCCAGTACAAGGTGGCAAAAGTGATGTATTGTGAAAACAAAGTGATTGAAAAAAAAAATTAAGCATAAAAATACAAAATTAATAACAATTTATATGACATTTAAAAAAAAATAAATTTAAAAAAAATTAAATATTTTTTATTGTTTTGTTATTATATAGTTTAAAAATATTACCATCTTCCACTGCGGATTTTTGCATCACTTCCATAATTTTTTCCCCTTTCATAGTTTTTCGGTTCTCTTTTATGCTCATCGTGTAATGGTTTTCTACATATCAATTTTTCCAGTAAGAGCGGTGTTATCCAACTGTTATTTCTGTCTCTAAAACGGAATGTTTTCTTACTTACTTCTTTTGCTTCTTGAATACCTTTAATTAAAACATTAATTTCCGTTACCGTTGTCCACCTATTTTCTCTTTTACAGTCTGACGTAGTCGAGCATAATCTTTTCTGTATTATCCATGTTTTCATAGGCAACTTTTTGGACATCCCTCATTTATAGCAACTATAGCTAATTGATGATCCGATAAATTATTACTGTTACAAAATAGAAAAACTGTTCGTTTTTCTATTTTGTAACTAATAGTGAAATTATTATTAATATTTGTAATTATATCAATTAAGCTCTTTTTTTTTGTTGTGTTACTCTTGCTTTTTCAATTTTGTTCACTATGTAATATCTTGCAGTAGCTATCATATCTTTATATCTCACTAATATGTTATTATTTTCAAGTAAATTCAAGTTTCTACCAGTAAAGAATAAATGCTCTGAATTATTTGCTTGTTTATTTTCTAAATATTCTATAAATAAATTGCTGTTTTCTGCTAGAGCTTAATAAATGTACCGATTTTTATTTTCAGTTTAACATTTTGAATTTCATTAACCGTATAATTTTGTTTTAGTATTCGCCTCTTTTTTGCACATTTACAATTTAAAATTTTGAACGTCTCCATTTAATTTTGACTTAAATAATATCTTCAAAATATAAAAAGCATTCAACTGTGATTCAACTTTAAGTACCGTTTTTCGAAAAATAGTGGCTTTGCAACAGAAGTATTACTGTTAAAATGAATGCGGATTCTTGTCACCATTGTAAGGGCTCCTTTAGAACGGATCATGGTATAAATTGCGAAGGAGTTTGCGAAAGTGTTTCCATTTTGTTGTAAAATGTTCCGGTTGGATCAGTATGTGTGAGGATTGCATTGTTTATATTAAAAACCTTGATTTGGTCATGAAAAATGTGCAAGATAACGTTAATAAATGTGAGAATTATTTAAAAGAACACAGCTTGTATTTTGAGAGATCATTGAAAAATCACGAGGAGGAAATCATAAAACTGTTAGAGACTGTTGATCATGGGTATGTTGAAAGACTGGACTCCGTAAAATCGGTGTAATAGTAAACAAACTTTTGACTACGTATCATTTGAGGATGCTGCCAAATCAAAAGGTAGCGTTCTACATAAAAAAAACTATAAAAGAGGTGCCACATATTGAAAAAGATAATTCTTTAATTTTAAGACCTAATAATTTAAAGGTAAACAAAATTTATTTAAAAAATAAGGAAGATATAACAAAAAATTTTGATCCCATAAGCTTAAAAATTTTGAATATAGAAAATAGCAATAATCTGTTATTATTAAGTCATCAGGTATTGAGGACAGAGAGGAAATAAAAAACGAATTCGAGAAGTCCCTAAATGGTAATTATGATATAAAAATGCCAAATAAGTACATACATACCAAAAGTAATTATCTCAAATATGAAATTTAAGCATGAAGATCTCGAACTAATAGAAAAGTTAAGGAAGGATAATGCGATTTAAGCGAATGCGAAATTGAGGTACTTAGATAAAGTATGTATTGAATTAAGGTACTGAATAATAATGTTTTCACTAAAGTATTAATGGGAGAAAAATTAAACATTGCTTGGAAAAGATGAAAAGTTTTCGATGGTTTAATATTATGTTTTGCTGCAAGTGTGTTGTGTTTCAACCACAAGACGTCTGAATGTAAGAAAGATAAGATTTGTCTGAAATTTTTTGGAAAACATGCTACTAAGAACTGTGATAAGGAATCAAAAAAGAATGTATAAATTGCATTAGAGAGAATGAGACTCTAAGTTTTGATCTTGATATTTGTCATTTTACTTTCAGTAAACAATGTCCTGTTTATCGGAATAAATTTGAAGTTAAACGAAAAAAATACGCTATTAACAATTAATGAATGCAACAAATGAAGAAAATAAATATTTGAAAGCAATATATTTAAACATACAAGGTCTAACCAGTCATATTGCTTCACTCGAGGAGTTTATTATCTTGATAATCAACTCAACATTTGACTTGATTATGTTGACTAAAACACATATCGCAGAAGATATCGGAAACTGTGAATACAATTTGAAGGGATATAAATGCTTTACGTGTCTTTCAAATTTTAGACATACTGGTGGTGTGATTATATATATTAAAAATAATTTGAAACCAATTGAAACTAGCTCTTTAAGTATTGATTTTAAATTGATGACACATATCAAGTATATTGAAAGAAAAATTTCAGACAAATCTTTTGATCAGAAAATTATGTGGAGAACGATTTAGAATTTAGTTTTGAAATATTTTAAGTGAATATTTTAAGTGAAATCAATATAAATGATCATATTATCAATGAGGAAACAGAAATCGCAACTAAATTAAATGAGCCTTTTATAAAAATGTTATAAATGTTTTATATATAAATTAATTATGTTGACAATATACAAGAAGTAAATAGTTTGCTTAAATTAAGACAAATTTATATAGACGAATTAGAAAGTGTTATACGTGAAATGAATTCTAAAAACGAATATGTTGGTTTAAAGACAAATATTATCTTAGACTGCAAAGATGTTTCTCTTCCAATTTTGACTGATATTATAAATAAATCCCTGAACATTTAAGGCTAATAACATGTTCATTTTTATTTTTGAAAAAAATTTGGAAAAAGTAGTATATCTATAGGTTGAAAATTATTTAATGCAAGTAAGTATTCTGTGTGAGGAACAATCAGGTTTCAGAAAGGGTCACTCTACAGAAACATCGTCAAATTGGATTATTAACGAGAGCAATGTTCTTAGATATTAAGTTAAATTACTAAAAAAACTGATTAAATATGGCATTAGAGGCAGTAAGCTGAAATGGTTTGAAAATTTTTTGCAAATTAGGAAACACAGCACCAAAATTAATCGTACTATTTCAACAAAAAATCAATTGAATTAGGAGTTCTCCAAGAATTTATTCTGGGAGTTATTTTATTTTTAATTTATGTAAATGACATAAAATGTAATATAAGGTATTCGAATGTCTCACGTTTTGCTGATGATACTTTGGTTTATATTGTTGGAGATAAAGTGAATGACACGCAATCGAAAATAAATAATGATCTACATAATCTTTGCAACTAGCTGTGTATGAATAAATTAAAATTAAATATAAATAAGACGAAATGTATGCTTATAAATAACTCTAATTCAAATTTAAATATTAAAGTTAATGACGAAAAATTGAATGTGTGCCAATTTAAAGTACTTGGGAGTGCATCTTGATAACAAGCTGAGTTTTAAATTGCATGCAGATATGATCTGTAAGAATATTGGTAAAAAATTGACTTTTTGGCTAGAATTAGGAAAAAAATGTCCAAGAAATGTGCAATTTTAATCTCCAATTCAACAATTTTTTCTCACTTTGAATATTGTTCATCTATTTTTTTTATGTGTAACCGAGACAAATTGAATGGACTACAACGTTTGCAAAATAGAGCCTTGAGGATAATTTTAAAAGTTCAAAGGCGCATCAATGTGGATTACATGTTAAAAGAACTTTGTTTTGTGAGTGTTATCCAAAGATTGAAGTTTAATGCTTTGATATTTGTTTTTAAATTAAAAAACGACATGCTACAGGCATGTTTGAAAAGAAATTTAAATATGGTTGGCGGTTTTTATTATTTAAGAAATAAAGGGGACTTAAGACTTTCACTCTACCGTAGAACTTGATCGCAAAACAATGTTTTTTACCTTGGAGTTCAAGTATTCAATTCTCTTCAGATGCTCGCACCATGTCTTAGAAAATGATTAATAAATTACCAGTTAGTTTGCATGCAACTAGTCTTTAAATTTCATACTTATTTAAACATATTAATTTTTATAGCTTTATTATATTTTTGTAACTTTTTCACATTTGTTATCTTTAATAATTTCAAATTTTGTATTAAATATAATTGAGCTAAAAGAAAGATTATGCAATTATTTGTAAATAAAAGTTTTTAATTAAATTATTTGTTGAACCTAATAAATTAATTAAGAAAAACCGTTTCTCTTCTTTACAAACTACATTAAAAGGAATGCTTTTTTTCACTAAAATTGCAGTACCACCTCCCCTATTTACTTCTCTGAAATTATATACCGCTGTGAAATAGGGATATAGTGTGAATCAATTTCGTTATTATATACCTATCCACACTTCTTTTAACACTACTACTAATTTAATTTAAGTATTCATGCTTATATTTATTTCAAATAACTTAATTTTCACTTAAATTGAGTTTTCTTATAATTTAATTTTAAAGTCCTCTCAAATATCATATCAAAACCATATCAAACTTTGACCCATGTCTCAAAAGAGCAAATTTTTCATGAAGAACGTTTTGCCCCACGTGCGACTTTATATCGCCTATTTATGAAACTCTGGGGAATTTAGTTCAACGCAGGTCAAAAAAAATTTAAAAATAAAATAATTATATATTAACAAGTCTATGGAAATTTTGAAAAATTTTATTTTAAATGTTAATTGACGAATTTATGTTTAAATGTTAAATGTCATAACTAATGACAAAATAACTCCGAAAACATAAGATTTATCTAATGATCGACCATGTAAGTGGAATGAAGTTAATGTGATTAAAATTGGCTGTCAACCTCAATCCCGCTTTATCAACCGGCTTAATTTTATTTCTCGAAATAGAAAGTGGCACAATTTAGAAAATGCTTGATATAACACGATTTGAAAATGACGTAATTGGGCATACTACAAAGAGCCCACGGTTATTTCCATGTTATTGTAATTAAGTTATTGTATCTTAAGATACCAAAAAATATCAAAACCCGAACCACTTTATAATGTATTTTCGCGAAATTATTTTTCTGAAGCTTAAATTTTTTTCTTCTTTTTTTGCTTATTTTGAAAAAAAACCAAACCTAAAGCCTAATAATTTTTATATTGATTTCATAATTATTTTTATATTTACATATTTTTAATTTTATAAATAAAAGTTGAATTTTTCTTTGAAAAATTCATATGTATCAAAAACTTAAATTTCAACTTAAAATTTTGACTAAAATTTTAGCTAAATATACATATTTTCGAGTTTTTCTGCAGGAGGAAAAAGAGTGCCATTTTCGTTACTAATTTAAGAAAATATTACCAAAATAACATCTGGACAAAATTAAAGAAAAAACTGATGGAAAGAATCAAAACGATGAAAAATCCAGGATGTCCTTGAAACACTCTTTTCAAATTTTTTTTTATTAAGCTACCTAGGAAAAAACAAGATTAACATACTTAGAAATTAAAAATAGAATAACATACCTAAGAAAAAATAAATTTGGCTCTTAGTTAAAGTTCACTTTATTTTTTTTTTTTCCTTATTCACTCCTAGAAGGAGCATAGGGCTAGCCTGCGGTAGTTTTTATTATTTATATTGATTTACAATTATTTGAGGTTATTAATATTTACTGTTTATTTTTCTTAGTTCACTTTATGCGATTAGAAAACTATACATACTTAGCTATACATAAGGTGGCAAATAATTTTATTTATACATAAGGTGGCAAGTACTCGTTTTTGAGCTACAGCCTGTTGAAAAAAAAGGTACCGGACCTTTCCTGCATATAAATAAATGTTTATAACTTCTAGACCAAACAATACAGAGTTATCATTGGGAGCTTGTTTTACAGGCGATTTTTGCAGAACAATCTTAATTTTTGGTCCACAATTAATATGATTTGTTCGAGATATAGCTCGTCAAAGTCAGAATTGTTGTTTTTTTGTTTTTAATTTTTTTTTACAAAACTATGTATAGTCTTTATGGATAATATAGTCTTTTGATGTAATTAGATTATATGAAATAGCTTTTATGAACAATAGACCTAAGTACTAGATTAATAAACAGGTACTACAGAGGTGAAAATTTTGACGCCCAAATAGAAAATGAGCTGAGTTCCCATTTTTACTACTAATTTAAGAAAATATTACCAAAATAACATTTCCTGCTAAAAAATTTGGATTCTTATCATAGCATTTCTTTCTCATTATTAGCAAAATTTTTATTTTTGTGATAATCTAATTAATATTTAAAAAGTTTTGTAACAATAAAAATTAATATAAGAAAAAACTATAACTACATTTAATAAACTAAAATATGTAATTGAAAAGTAAAAAAATTAAATATTTGGAGAATAAAGGTAAACTGCTGCGTTAAAAACTGTAGAGTTTATAAACATTTCCTTTAAATAGGTAAATATTATAAGATACTGACACTTAAACAAATTTATTTTTTAAATATTGCTTAAATTATTTGGAGTTAAAAGTAAAAGCTTTTAAGGGAGAAGTTGCCTTAAAAATGGACTCAAAATATCAATAGCTTAAATAACTAACATTTGGGCACAAAAAAAGAAAGAGAAAAAATTGTGTCTTAAAGATGTCGTTTCTATAAAAAATTTTTTAATAATATTTAAACAAAGAATAAGCCTCTAGGTCTAAATTGTCATATCAAGGTAAAATTACATGCAACACCATTTTTGTGTTTTTTTTTGAAAAAAAATTTGTTAAATTGTTTTCAATAAATTTGCATGACAAACGAAGATAAGTAAACTTCGGCTTTAAATGGGTTAAAAAGTACATACATATAATTCTTGGAAATTTTAAAAAATAACTAAAGTAACATAAAACATAATTTCAAAATGTGCATATGCATGTAATAGGTCTTTTTAATAAACGCAGTATGGCGCGATATATGTATGTATAGCGAAACCTGAGTTCTATTTGTGTTCATAAACAAATTAATGCGAACCCAATAGCGAAATTATCACAAGTAGCGCAGTTTAATCATATGAACAGCTTTGGTTTTATAGAATAGTTAAAAGTATATTCCACATTTATCACGTTATGTTTTTGCAGTATCGTGTTTTGTAGTTACCTATTTTGCAGAAATATTAGAGCTTGTTAATATTATAAAACAAGTACGAGTACATTAAACTTATACAGTTTCTTATAGATCGACTTAAATTATGCCGTTAAACTGCCATAATGGATAGTAAATTTCAAATTATTCAATTTAAATATAAAAGGTAATCTCATAAAAAATATACACCTGATCTCTTAAATACACAAAAATAACAAAAAGAGAAAAAAATTTTCAAAACAAAAAAAACGAAGTACCTGCCGAAAAAAAACTTTAACAGAATTCGCGTTAAAAAATTTCGGGGTAAGTATATTTATAACGATTAAAATTAGTTATTTTCAGTAGAGCTTTAACATCGGATGAGTTGTGCGTTAAAAAAAAAATATAGCCTGAATTTGATTGCTGTGGATATTATTTATTGTTCGGTTCAAATGAGATTATAATCGTTATAATTTAAAAATTTAACAATCTATGTAAATGATTTAAAACATAATAAAGTATTTGTTTCCTGTATCAAATGTAAAAAGAACGTTGTATACAATTGAAATGTACATCTAATAAAATTTTATAAATTATATTATTAATTTAATGTTTTTAAAAATATATCGCAAAATTTTTTTAAATAAGGAAAATAAATAAAAGTGTTTATTAAAGTGTAGTTGAATATAATTAAGTTAAAATGACTTTGTGTTTATAATAATTATATTATAATAGTAAATCAATAAAAGTGAGTATATACGCAGTGAATGATGAATTCATGAAGTTAAAATTAAAAAAAAAATTAATTTTTCTACAAAATGCACTTACTTACTTTTAATTCGAAAATAAAGGATTCGGAAATTGCTTTTGTATTGAGAAAACGCTTTTTTAAGTAAAAAAACTTTTTTTCGTAATTTCGTTTAGATTATATTTTTATATATTTTGGCAGTACGCATTAATCAAAACTGAATAGAAGTTTAAATTATAGTAGTAAATTAAATGTATTTTAAATTGTTTTTTTTTTCATGAATGAATGACTTTCAGTAATGCAAATATGTACTTTTAGCAAGAATAAAAAATGCAAGTATTTTCAAGACCTTTAAGTTTTTTTGAAATTTTTGATTTGCATAATATGCAAATATCAATTAAAATGAAATCTTCTCTATAATTTTGGATAAATTTTAAGAATATTGTTTTTCTGATTTCTTCTTAATTCAACTTTAGTGTTCTTTAGGATATTGCATATTCGAATAATTCAAGTTAATATGTTAGATCTGCATTTTAATAGATTCCTCCTATCAAAATTTTGCTGGATTGATTAAGTAATCTTGTTGCAATTGAAATTGATTATATGGGATTGTAAAAGTTGGTAAAAAAGATTTTTTGTATTGCTTTGTACTTTTTTAATATATTGTTAAAAGTATATACTTATATTCACAAACTCTTACGTATGTAAAGTTTTACATATGTAAAATTTAATTTAAATCATGTACAGGAATAATCTCGTATTAAGTATAAAATATTAATGCTTATTTGTTTTTTATATTCTCATATACACGCTTATGTGTGTATGCCTTTGTCATTAAAAAACATTTAAAATCTCTTTCTTTTTATTTCCAAAATGTTTGATAAGATAGAAAAAAAAATTGTTTTAATATTTTAATTACTTTTTTAATTTAAAGAAAATAATATAAACGATGTTTTTTTACCTTTTTCAAGTATGTAAATATTTATATCCGTATAAGGGCGAAATGAAATATTAAAAACTAACAATATTTTCTCACAGAGATTGAAAACAAAATTGAAAAAAAAATAGTTATTTGTTTTGGTTTATTTATCCGCCCATAGGCAAATAGGTACTATTTATAAAACATCTAGTTATAAACCCTTTAGAACTAAAATTTTTTTATTCAAATGAATCCTTCCGAGAAAAATTTTTTAGCGATCATTCTCTTCTGAAAGGTACTATCAAAATCACAAAAATTTCATTTTTTTAATTATTTATTGTATCAGAATCACAATAGTATATGTTAATTAAACATTACAACAGAAAAATGGATATCAAAATCAACAGGTATTTTCCACCTTTGTTTTTGAAAAATTTGGCATCACTGTTCTATTGGTGAAGATGTTTAAGACTTTCACGGTTTGTAGAAGTTAATAAATGATTTTCTTTATCGGAACAATTTTTTTCCAAGTCTTTCGCTTTCAAACTATCGCCTCCCAAACAATCAACGATTAATGCCTTAGCATAAAAAACTATGAATAATAACTTAAAATATCTGTCATTTTATGGCCTTTTAATGCTTTTTCCTAAAGTTTTGTTTTAATTCGAAAAGCAATATTTTTTGTATATTAAAAACAATTTGAGTATATAATTACTCGTTAAAAAGAAGAAAGTACTTTCATTTGTTTGAGGGAAATGCACTACTTTACAAGTCTTTAGTTTGATCCGAATTTTTTTATCTGTGATATAATCATCCTACTATAAAATCTGTTAACATATGTATGTACATGTTGTTTACAAAACAAAAAATATGTACATTCTTGTATATATAGTTGTATATACACATTTAAGCATGAAAAACAAATAAAAAATCTAGATTATTTAATCACGTTGTTGTACCTGTAAGTTCATTTAATAATAAATAATTATTCGAGGAATAATGGCAATACAAAGTGTGAAATTTTTTCATACTTTAATTTTTAGTAGTCATTTTTTTGTTACTTTGTGCAATTAGTATTATATTTGCGTATATATATACACACAAATTTTTCTCAAATGAAATTACAGCCAAAAAAAAAACGAATTTGATAAAACAAAAATACTTGATAGCAAAAATTTATATTTTTTTTCGCTTCTATTACTTTTAATTATTTTTCATTATCTTGCTATTAATTAAAAGTCAATTTTTAATAAAAGAGGCAAAATTATACAATAAAAGATAAAACAATTTATATTATGCAAATTAAACCTTAAATTTGCCATTGAAATTAATTTTCGGTAAAACCGGCACAAAAATAAAATTTTTAGCGGTAATAGTTTTTATTGATTTAACATTTTCCAAATTATAAATTTTAAATATATATACGTACATATTTATGCCCATATACATATATATTTTCCCTTTTAATTAACCAATACATTCCCTTTGAAATCTATAGTTATCATATTATAATTATTAAGTAAATTTGATTAACAAGCAAGTGTATTTAGTCATAATAATAATTTTTGATTGAACATTATGTTCTTTAATTGCATCTATTGATAAAATTGTTTATCGAAAAATTTTTATGTGCCAAATTTTGTTAATGAGCAATTTGATTATTGATAAGGCAATTTTTTTAGCGATATTGTAAAAAGTCGAAAGAATGACTTTTTATTTTAAATTAAATAATTTCACCGAATGGTTTTTTTAATTATCTATACAATAATAACGTATTGTTTTCTTAAAAATTTTTAATACATATAAATATGTACATAACTCTTTATTTTTTATATTTTTCTTGCTGATGAACAATTTAAATTATTTTGTTTAAAGTTTGATTTCGTCTTATTGTTAATTTATCGATTTTTTCTTTGCACTTTTAGTACATTAATAAATCTGCCCTCAAACAAAACAAAAGAACCACAATTATTCTTAGTGCTAAATTTTGAAAACTGTAGTTTGTTGGAGTTGTGAATTAATTATGGTTTCACACTACAAAAGTACTAACATATGTTTAATTTTAAAGCATTTTCTAAAGCGGCAGCCTTTATCAGTATAATATCTTTATATTTATTTTAATATCAGTATAAAATTTTAGTATAGAATCTATTTTGGAAGTTGAATGGAAAGTGTGATAAGAACTACCAACAGATTTTCATGAAAATAATTTCATGTAATTAAATGTGTATAAGAAAAAATCATAAAAATTAAACAAAAATGCATGGTAATATTCGTTATGTTTGTATGTGCACACATTTAATTTAAGATATTGTTCGACATTTCATTAAAATATCGAAAATATAGTTAAAAATTAATATAAATTAATAATATCGATGCACATTTCTGACTGGTTACATCTTCTCCTATATTTTTAAATAGTTCAAACACAAAATTGCCTATGCTTACGTTAATTTAAAATTAAGTACAGTAATTGAAAAATAGGGTAATCAAATGTTTAACAGGAAGCATATTAAAATGAGAAAATTTTTTTTTTTGTTTTTGTAAAATGTACTTATGAATCATTATTGTAGTATATTTTAACAATGATAGTTGCATAAACAGCATTGTATATAAAAATTAAAATATAAATTTTTAATTGTAGAAAACATACGCATATATATTGAAGTTTAAAAAGCATGTGTAATTTTTTAACTTTAAATCAATTAAATTTTGAATTTTTCAAGTAATCAACTCATAATCTTCTAATTTGAAAACTTCCCACCAGTAACAGCTGTATTATTTAAATGATGAATGTGTAACAGATTTATTTTTTTTTTATACAACTAAATTCCAGATATTTTAAATATCGCTATTACAATGTTACATAATTATATTAATTTTTTATTGAAGAGTAAGGTAATAAATTTTAAAATTTGTTACAATTTTGAACATTTTATAACATATAAAAATATTCTAAACAATAATATATATTCATGCACATACACAAGGTGTTTCGTACAAGGTGGCAAATAATATCGCTGATGATTCTTTAATTAAGTTCCAGCAAAAAATTATATGGGTTGGAGGGAGGAGGGGTTCAGGTACTCTTGTTTTTGAGGTACAGCCGTTTAGATACTGATTCTGTACAGATGGTTACTGTATGTCGCATGGTTTCGAAGTTATAAGCATTTATTTTTATACTGGAAAAATACGGTAATTTTTTCTTCAACAGGCTGTAGCTTGGAAACGAAAATATCAGCAACATTCCCCACCCATACAACTTTTTCCTGGAAATTGATCAAAGAACTATCCGTGAAATTACTTGCCACTTTATGTGAAACACCTTGTATAATCAATTGTATTTTCTAGGTAATAAATTATTTAATAAATTTTAACAATAACTTTATCGTCGCATGCAACTAAAATTACTCTAAAATAAATTTTGGTTAAACCAATAGTTTGTAATGCAGCACTTTTCCTTTCAACAAGTGAAATTACATAGCTTTTAAAAACAATCTAGCTATACGCATTATTAAAATTATTGTCATTTATATACGAATATATTTCAAAAATTGCATACCTTTGCGATGAAAAATGTTGCAATTTTTGAAATAAAAGAAAAAAAATTGAAATACTCGTTAACATAATGCTTGGAACTATAAGGGTTAATTGCACGAGTTCACGGAAATAATTATATTTTTTAATGGCATGTAATTTAATGTTAGCTTTTGGCATTTACAGAAATTTCGAAAACCTTGCATTTTCGGAAATATAAGGTTTCAAAAATTAAAATTTTACAAATTTCGAGAGGATATAACTTGAGAGGAGGTGGAGATGGAAAAAGATTTTCTTCTAACAAAACTGTTAAAATTCCAGTCTTCTACAATCTACGGTATAAAAGAAAGACAATATTAAAAATTTGAATAAAAAGTATTTTGGGTAACGGTAAAGTTTAACGGCTCTGCGGCGGTAGAAGAAGCCAGTGATTACTCTCACGCGTTTACAGAATTTTGAAAATGTTTGTGGTTTTCTTACTATAAATAATTAAAAAATTACATTTTAGGTCTTTGAGGCGCTACAATTTTAAGAGGGGCGGAGA